TCTCAACTTGCTAAGAATACTCTCAGAATTAACAAAATATCAGAAGTAGGCTTAAAATACTGGAATTTATAATGACTGCCTGATATTTTCAGGCAAAACATTTGGAGGAGCTCATAATTGTATTTATTACCATGTTTTTGTGTCCTGAAATTCTGGTTCTATCTGTAGCCACCTTTCACTCTACAATCTACAGTCCAATTTAACAAACTGGCTGCCAATTGTCTGAATGTGGTCCACAGACACGTTTTGTTTTGCCTGCTCAGTATTTAAAAACAAACAAAATAGTTGCTAACACTTAAAAAACCAGATTTTACATAAAAATCCAGATTTCCATCTGCTCTTAAAAAATTGACATCTCTGTCATTAGGCCCACATTCCTACTTGGAATTTGTACCCTGATTAAACATAGAATTTGCTCAGTCTGTGACACTTTTCTCCCAGATAGCTTCTCTCATTTGTTACCTTCTAGTCCTCATAGACATTACAAGTTTGTAACCCATGGACTAGCATCTCTTTGATTTCAATCTCTTATGTTGGCTTAAACTACCAAATACATGCTAATGATTTCTAAATCTGTTTCTACTTAGATGTCCTGTAGACTCTCCCCAGAACCCACATATTCAAAATCAAACCATTTTTTTCAAAACCTAATTTTCTTCCACTATTCTCTAAAAGACCCAGTTAACAGAATTACAGTCCCACAGTTGTCCAAACTAGAAAAACCCTTAGGGTTATTCTTTCCTCCTTCTTCCTCATCCTACCCACAGCTTTTCAGTCATGTGCCAAACTATGACATATCTTTGCTTTCACTGTTCCCAATATTTTAAATACCTTTCCCTTCTTGACATTTGGAAAACTCCTACTTACTTTCCAAGACAGAACTAAATTAATCAGTTTCTGAAACTACATCCCCTGCCTCCAGGAGCATTTAGTTTGCTCCTTTCCAAGTAAAGGCATCTCAAGTACATTATATAGTGTATGGCATTTATTTACTGTTGGCTTTCCCTCTAGACTAGGGATTCCTTATGGGTACAGATCATGATTTAGTTATCTTTGTATCAACAGTACTAAGACAAAAAACATGGAAGTCAATAAATGTGTCAAATAAACCCATGAATTTTACAAATCAATGAAAGTAAGATTATTCCATATCATGATTTTATCTTCCTATACTTTCTATATGCTTCAATCTTCTGTTAAAGTGCCCTTTTTTGACGGTACTTTTTTGGTGCTTGCTTTGGATTGACACTGGAATCATTTTAAATTTTGTACCATATGACTATAAAGTTAAATGGCTATGTCAAAATAAAACTTACAAACTCCACTATTCAAAGATGAGGGCTTTTAAAGTAACTTAAAATTTTTGTTTCCAATATGCGAATCTAAGGATGCCAGGCATTAACTCTGAAAAAATATATAATTATTCACTAAACAGATCCCTAAGGGGCAAGTGAACAGCTGTTCAAAGATTTGGCACATCACTATGCCAGCCTGAGTTTAATGACCTACATGTGAAGGGCTACATATCCAATTACTAATCCTCCCTCAGCTACCCTTTGCCCTGATATGGAGGCAGCTGAAAAAAGATGCCCTACTAACAGATCAGAAATGGATCCAGACTTCGTTGCCAATGCCCAGTTAAGAGATCTTTTAGATTTGAGATGAGGAAGAAACAGAGTAAGCCACGACAGTGTTCCAGCTGACATGATTTTTCAAGTAAAATTTGAGGGTTTAAAGCAAGAGTGACTTTAATTTTGTGACTAGAGAAATTTCAATACTTTTAGAAAACTCAAATTCTGAATTTAAATTCCTACTCATTGAAACATTTAAACGTTTAAATGTTTTCAAATATCAAGAATAATATATTTCCAAATTCTTTCCACGCTGAAATGGTAGTCTTCTACTCATTGATTCAAATCTCATTCTTATGTTCCAATTCTGTGATACTATTAGAAGTAGGATCAAATCAAAAACTAAATAGAAAACGACAGTCTATGAGATTATGTTTCAGTTCTCCCTCAGTTGACTTGGTCTATATATAGCAAAAAGATTATATAAGGTCAAGTATTATAAACAATGAAATGTCACCTGATGTTTTGCAAAACAGGATAGAGAAAAATAGCTCAAGGAATGAATGGGAGTAAGACTTACAGCTGTAAGCAGGAAAAAAGGCTTACGCATTCTAGATTGAAATGCACCTTATTAGGAATTTGACTCGCTTTTTAAATTTGATTTTCCATTTGAGTTGTGTAGAATCATGTGATACTGACAACCTTCTGTATAAATCATTTCCTTTCATTTCCAACACAGATTAAGAGCCCTTTGTCAGTGTCGCATTTTTAATTTTGAAGAGTAGGAATGTCTTAAGATCCCCCCTCCCCCATGCCCGCAGGAATATATGAATGAATACACGCCCGTAGGTACGCACTGGCCTTGAAGCGGAAAAACAGGCATCACTGTAACTACCTCCCACTCCAGACTCCGCCCCACAAAACCTCCCTCCCCTTTCTCCCACTGCAGGTCCGGCGTTGGCGCAGTTAGATGACGTAAGGCGTAGCCGGCGTAGCCGCCTACGTGTGGCTACCGTCTCTGCCTCTGGGAGTTGAAGTTTCCGAAAGGACTCGGGTGCGGGACCAAGACCACTCCAGAAAGGCTTTCTGCTTGAGCTCTCAGGTTCCCCAACCACTCCTTAGCTAGGTAAGTCTCCTGGCACTGAGGCTGGCGCTCTCCTACCCTTTGGTATTTTCCGGCCGCAAAAACAGTGCGTGCCAGAGCCGCTCTCGACTAACAAGGGCTTCCGGGGGAAGAGGGGAGTTGGGCTGTGGAAGGGGCAGCCTCAACCCAGTTTCCGAAGGAAGTGACGTCAGCTACCGCGCGTCCCCGTCGTGCGCCAAGCGGCTTCCTGATTCGCTGGCTGCTGCTTAATCCCGCCTCTCGAGTGCATTCGCTGGGGGTGGCCTAGAGGGAGGGTGGGGCGAGGTTCTGCCACTCCCCAGTGGCCCTCCTGTCGTCGACGTGTGTGTGGGGTCGGCCGGGCCCTAGTATGTGAAGAGTGAGTTTCTAAAGAATGAGGGGAGAGGGAAGTCTGCGCTCTGAAGGGCCGGAAAACGAGCTCTCGTCCTGTCCCTGGGTGGCTGGAGAGCGTGGGCAAGGCGCCTTCCCCGTGTCCCCCTGGGGGTACGCAGCGAGCGCCTTGGGACGTGGAGCGCCAAGGCCGGTCCAGCGCCCGCGAGACCCAGTGTTCCTGCTTTCAGCGAAATACTTTCAGCGTTACAATTCGGCACGTTTTCTAGAGCTGCAGGGAGGGTAGCGACAGCGGCTCTTCCGGTTTTTGTTTGTTTAAATCCTGCCGCTCTCCCCAGCCCCGCCCCGGGCCTGCCCGCCGAAGAACTGACGCCGCGCGGCCTCGGCCCGCCCCTTCCCCGGGCTGCTCCTGCTCCGTCGCTGTCGCTCTGTAATTGCGTTCTGCAGTTGTTCCGGCGTTGGTTTGGATCTTTCTGGAAGGGAGGCTGTCACAAATGAAGACTCTATTTCAGCCCAGTGAATAAAATCCATAAAAGTTATTTTGTTCTTTAACATTTCTTTTGGACGCTCACTGATGGATGATGTGTCCTCCCTGCCGGAAGCTGTGCGAAGAGGTGGAAATACAAGGAGGATTGGCATCAGTTTTTACGCATTAGTCCCACAGCAGATGGCCTTAGTCATCGTTTTCCCGTTCTTGTAAGACCACCTGATAATCGATGTCTGTGACTCAATGAACCAAATTTTTTCCCTATGCTAAAGTAAAATTTCACGCAAATATTTCTGTAACTGCTACAAAATACCGTTCTTAAATGTTGGTTGGACGTGGTCGAATGAATGAAAACGTACACTGAGCATCACTGTGTGTGAGAAAGGAGTGCAAAACCCTCTGCCGTGGAGCTTATAAACCGGCCAAAACTAAAATAAGAAGCAAGTGTACCTAGTGAAGCGCCGTATTTTGCTGAACAGGCGATCCGAACAAGCTAGCACATAGTGAAACGCTATTGGGTGGTACAGCAGGGGGAGTTGGTACATATCTTTGTACATAGAGTGTTGTGAGCAATAATTTATAGGAGCTCAAGCCAGCATCATTTTTGTTATATTCCATGCCTCATTGTATGTAGCTTATTCAAAACTTAAAAAAAATTCACTTACTACAGTGCGTTTTCTTAATTGGGAATGGCTTTAAAAATAATAATGATGATGTTGACCAACTCATGATCTTTCCTAGTATTTGATAGGCTGTTTAAAAATATTAGTATGCAATGATAGGCCAGGTTAAATTTAACTTAGGCTGCTTGGATAGGAAAGGCAAACGCTCCCCCTGGTGTACATGAGCTGTAAAACATGGCTATACATTGCTTTTTAAAGTTTTCACATTATAGAGCGAATAAACACTTGCAGTTTTAAACTTAATAGGGAACTGGCAAAACACGATGCCAGTGATGATCGGAAATGTTCTTTCTTAGAATCTTAATCATTGTTTTGTGACGAGAGCAATTTGTTTCCTGTGAATTTTAATTGTGCTTTTAAGTTTGCACATTTAGCCTAATAGACAGGTTCAGCATATGTTTTTTTCACCCTATGTTGTTTTAGATACACTCATGGCTGACTTCTATTTAATGTACTGTCTATGCGAAAGAAGTAAAATGAAAGTGATCCTGGGGATCGCAATATGTATTTTAAAATTTTCTTCCTTCTAATCTTTTCAGGGGTAGTTGAGTTTCTCCTGCCTCCCATTTGCTAAGTTGAGTGCTTACCTTATCTTCTAGCTTTAAAAAAAAAAATTAGTAAATGCCCTCAATGTTATACATTTGTCTCCAATTGAGGCCTTTTTGCCTGTATTTCTCTCATCCTATTATTCAGGCTTTTAACTGCTCCAACGTATTATTTTTTCGTTCTCTTCTCTGTCTGAATTCTGAGTCAGATTGTGAGGATGTCTTCTAATTCATCAGTTACTTCTTGGACACCAGGTAATCTGGAGTTTGTCTCATATTCTGAAATCTTTATATCTTCATTTCCTGGTTTCCAAATTGGTTCTTTTTCAAGTATTCTAATTCTACTTTTTTGTGTCTATGTTTGTGTCCCAATTTCCTGTTTTGTTTTTATGGTCCTTACTCCTTATGATGTCTGAAAGATTCCAGTCAAACTTATTTTAAAGTCATTTTCACATTGCCCTATTATTTTCAATTTGTGTCGAGTGGATTTATCTCAAGTGTTGATTTTGGCTTTTTCCCCATCGTTTCTGTCTTTTTGTAATTTCACTTTGCAGGCTCATGTTGAGTGGAATTATCACTTCCCTTCTCCAAACCACCTGTCTGTCTAGTACTGATTTTGTGGTTGGTCCCACCCATAGTCCTGTTCAGTGCTTCAGGCCACAGCAAAGCGTATATGGGTGCTTCAGAATTCTTACCATGTAGTGTTAAAGTTCGTATGTCCCCTCACGGCTTGGCCCAGGTTGTCGCTACGAGGCTGTGTCTGCTTCCTTCAGGTTTCCCCCAAGTACTCTGTATAAGCCTTAGTCTCATTTTACCTGTTTTCAGTTTTTTTTCATGGAAGGGAGAGCCCCACTGTAAATACTAGTTTAAGGGTTCGTCTTAAACTGTCTCCTGTCTCCCCCATCCTCTGTCTTGTGTTGTTGTTATTCTCCTTACTTTACAACTAGGAGGTCTCCCAGCTGCCTTTGCACAGCAGACCAGCAGGGTCAGTACCTATTCTAGTTCTTGGTTTTGGTTTTGAGAGAGGCTATACCTTTTTTTGTTTCCCCTTTTTATATTTTATCTCCTGTTGTCATGTATTTCAAGACTGGGAGGCAAGGTGCTTCAAAACATGAACTCTTGGCAACCATCTCCAGGAAGTCTCTTCCAACTTCCTTATTCTGTGGCGTAGGAATAGGACTGCAGCTGTTTTTCCCTGTATCTTACAGTGACACAAGTCTTCTCAGAGGCCTCCAACAGCAGGGTTGAAGCAACGCAGCTCTTTTACATTCTTTGGAAACTCTTATTTTCTAAATACGGTTTTGGATTTTTGGAGATAGTAGAGTTAGATCTGGGTTTGAATCTTAGCTCCATCGCTTTGTCTATTCGTTCAACAAGTATTTTGAGGACCTACTTAGTGCTAGGTTTGGTCTAGGTGCCTTGCTTCTTAGGAAATATTTAGTAGCTTTGTAATTTAGGGCAAGTTATTTAACCTCACTGTGCCTGCCTTCTCTGTAAAGTAGGCATAATATCGTCTACCTCATAGGGTTATTTTAAGGATTAAATTAGATATTAAGTTTTTTATTAAGCACAGTAAAAATTAATAAATGTTTGCTATTACAGACATGCGCCACATAACGTTTTGGCCAATGATGGATTGCATATGTGACGGTGGTCCTATAGGATTAGTGCCATTTAGCCCAGGTGTGTAGTAGGCTGTATCAACTAAGTTTGTGTAAGTACACTCTGTGATGTTCGCACAATGACCGAGTCGCCTGATGACGTATTTCTCAGAATATACTCCTGTCATTAAGTGACTCACGACTTTACTATTTTCATTGCATTTTAAAGTCTTTTGTAATATCATATTCACTCATTTATTTATTCCACCACTATATAATAAGCATCTGTTAAGTGCCAGTCCTTGTGTTAGTACTGACAATCTAATGTTAGGCAAAAGTGGACATCATCCCTGCTCATGTGGAGCTTCCAGTGTAGAATCAAATTTGAGTTATTTCTAGGTGTTCCCTCAAACTAAGGATGCTATTTGGTTAATAGTATAAGGAAAACTTGTGAACTCTTACTTGGATTACTGGATGATTCTTTCTCTCTCTTAGTAGTTTTGTGACCTGGTAAAATGCCAGGGCTTTTGCTGTAGCCTAGAAAGCACACATATTAAAACTTCTTGTGTTTCAGTCAAAATTTGGTAAACTTGCTAAGTTTGCTTACTAAGTTATCTCCATATGTTCTTTTACAACGTTGCACTTTTTTCTTCTTTTTTTTTATTGAGGTTATGATAGTTTACAACATTGTGAAATTTCAGTTGTATGTTGTTATTTGTCATTCATCTGATAGGTGCACTCCTTCACCCTTTGTGCCCACCCACCCACCCCCTTTTCCTTGGTAACCACTAAGCTCTTCCATTTGTCCATTTGTTTGTTTATCTTCCACATATGAGTGGAATCATACAGCGTTTGTCTTTCTCTATCTGGCTTATTTCACTTAACATAATACCCTCAAGGTCCATCCATGTTGTTATGAATGGGACTATTTTGTCATTTTTTTATGGCTGAGTAGTATTCCATTGTGTATATATACCATTCCTTCTTTATCCAGTCATGAGTCGATGGGCACTTAGGTTGCTTCCATGTCTTGGCTATTGTGAATAATGCTGCAATGAACATAGGGGTGCATAAGTCTCTCTGAATTACTGATTTCAGTTTCTTTGGATAGATACCCAGTAGTGGGATGGCTGGGTTGTATGGTATTTATATTTTTAATTTTTTCAGAAATCTCCATACTGTTTTCTATGGTGGCTGTACCAGTTTGCATTCCCACCAGCACTGTATGAGGGTTCCTTTTTCTCCACAACCTCTCCAATACTTGTTATTTTTTGTCTTGCCTGATTATAGCCATTCTAATGGGTGTAAGGTGATATCTTAGTATAGTTTTGATTTGCATTTCTCTAATGCTCAGTGATGATGAGCATCTTTTCATGTGCCTATTGGCCATCTGTATATCTTCTTTGGAGAAATGTCTGTTCAAATCTCCTGCCCACTCTTTGATTGGGTTGTTTGATTTTTTGTTGTTGAGTTGTGTGAGTTCTTTATATATTATGGAGATTAACCCTTTGTCAGATATATGACTTGCAAATATTTTTTCCCAGTTAGTGGTTGTCTTTTCATTTCAATCCTGTTTTCCTTTGCCTTGTAGAACCTCTTTAATCTGATGAAGTCCCACTTGTTTATTCTTTCTCTTGTTTCCCTTGTCTGAGAAGGCCTGGTGTCTGAAAAGATCCTTTTAAGACTGATGTCAAAGAGTGTACTGCCTATATTTTCTTCCAGAAGTTTTGTGGCTTCAGGTCTTACCTTTAAGTCTTTGATCTATTTTGAGTTTATTTTTGTGAATGGTGTAGGAGAATGGTCTACCTTCATACTTTTACATGTGGCTGTCCAGTTTTCCCAGCACCGTTTATTGAAGAGACTTTCCTGTCTCTATTGTATGTTCTTAGCTTCTTTGTCGAAGATTAGCTGTCCATAGATGTGTGGTTTTATTTCTGGGCTTTCAATTCTGTTCCATTGATCTTTGTGCCTATTTTTGTACCAGTACATGCTGTTTTGATTACTATAGCTTTGTAGAGTATTTTGAAGTCAGGGAATGTGATGCCTCCAGCTTTCTTCTTTTTTCTCAGGATTGCTGTAGGTATTTGGGGTCTTTTGTTGCCCCATATGAATTTTAGGATTCTTTGTTCTCTTTCTGTCAAGAATGTCATTGGGATTCTGGTTGGGATTGCATTGAATCTGTAGATTGCTTTAGGTAGTATGGACATTTTAACTATGTTTATTCTTCCAACTCATGTACATGGAATGTCTTTCCATCTCATTATGTTGTCATCAGTTTGTTTCAGGAAAGTCTTGTAGTTTTCAGTGTATAGGTGTTTCACTTCCTTGGTTAAATGTATTCTAAGATATTTTATTCTTTTTGTTGTGATTGTGTATGGGATTGTGTTCTTGAGTTCTCTTTCTGTTGGTTCATTATTAGAGTATAGAAATGCAACTGATTTATGTAAGTTGATTTTGTGCCCTGCAACTTTTCTGTAATTGTTGATTATTTCTAATAGCTTTCCAGTGGATTTTTTTAGGGTTTTCTATATATAAAATCATGTCGTCTGCAAATAGCGAGAGCTTCACTTCTTCATTGCCTATTTGGATTCCTTTTATTTCTTTTTCTTGCCTAATTGGTCTGGCCAAAACCTCCAGAACCATATTGAATAAGAGTGGTGAGAGTGGGCACCCTCATCTTGTTCCTGTTCTCAGAGGGATGGCTTTCAGTTTTTCCCCATTGAGTATGATGTTGGCTGTGGGTTTGTCATATATAGCCTTTATTATGTTGAGGTACTTTCCTTCTCTAACCATTTTATTGAACATTTTTATCATAAATGGATGTTGGATCTTGTTGAATGCTTTCTCTGTGTCTATTAAGATGATTATGTGGTTTCTGGTCCTCATTTTGTTAATGTGGTATATCACATTGATTGCCTTGCAGATGTTGAACCATCTCTGTGTCCTTGGTATAAATCCCACTTGATCATGATGATCTTTTAATGTATTGCTGTATTCGATTTGCCAATATTTTGTTGAGGGTTTTTGCATCTGTGTTCATCAGCGATTTTGGCCTGTAATTTTCCTTCTTTGTGTTGTCCTTGTCTGGCTTTGGTATCAGGGTGATGTTGGCCTTGTAGAATGTGTTAGAAAGTGCTCCATTTTCCTAAATTTTCTGGAATAGTTTGAGGATAGGTATTAAATCTTCTTTGAATGTTTGGTGGAATTCTCCAGAGAAGCCAGCTAGTCCTGGACTTTTATTTTTGGGGAAGTTTTTGATTACTGTTTCAATCTCTTTACTTGTGATTGGTCTATTGAGATTCTCTATTTCTTCTTGATTCAGTTTTGGGAGGTTGTAAGAATCTAAGAATTTATCCATTTCTTCTAGGTTGTCCAATTTGTTGGCATATAATTTTTCATTGCAGTCTCATATAATCTTTTGTATTTCTGTGGTATCCATTGTAGTTTCTCCTCTTTCATTTCTAATTTTATTTATTTGAGTCTTCTCTCTTTTTTTCTGAGCCTGGCTAAAGGTTTATCAATTTTGTTTATTTTCTGAAAGAACCAGCTCTTTGTTTCATTGATCCTTTCTACTGTCTTTTTTGTTTCAATTTAATTTATTTCTGCTCTAATTTTTATTATGTCCCTCCTTCTACTGACTTTGGGCTTTGTTTGTTCTTCTTTTTCTAATTCTGTTAAGTGTAGTTTGAGATTGCTTATTTGAGATTTTTCTTGTTTGTTCAGGTGAACCTATATTGCAATGAATTTCCCTCTTAGGACTGCTTTTGCTGCATCCCAAATGAGTTGCTATGGTGTGTTTTCATTTTCATTTGTCACCAGCTAGTGTTTGATTTCTCCTTTGATTTCTTCAGTGATCCATTGGTCATTCAGTAGCATGTTGTTTAATCTCCACATCTTTGCCCCTTCCCCAGGTTTTTTCTTGTAATTGATTTTTAGTTTCATAGCATTATGGTTGGAAAAGATGCTTGATAGCATTTCAGTCCTCTTAGAATTGTTGAGGCTTCCTTTGTTTCCCCACATATGATCTATCCTTGAGAATGTTCCATGTGCACTTGAGAAGAATGTGTAATCTGCTGTTTTTGGATAGAGTGTTCTATATGTATCTATTAAGTCCAGCTGGTCTAGTTTTTCACTTAGTTCTACAGTTTCTTTGTTGACTTTCTCTCTGGATGATCTATTCATTGGTGTTAGTAGGGTGTTGAGGTCCCCTACTATTATTGTATTGTTGGTGACATCTCCTTTTAGTTTTGTTAATATTTTCTTTATGTACTTTGGTGCTCTTGTGTTTGGTGCATATATATTTATAAGTGTTATGTCTTCTTGGTGGAGTGTCCCTTTTATCATTATATATTGCCCCTATTTGTCTCTCTTTACCTGTTTTGTCTTGAAGTCTACTTTGTCTGATATAAGTATGCTAACACCTGCTTTCTTTTGTTCGCTCTTAGCTTGGAGTATCATCTTCCACCCCTTCGCTCTGAGTCTGTGTTTGTCTTTGGGGTGAGGTGTGTTTCCTGGAGGCAGCATATTGTTGGGTCTTGTTTTTTAAACGACATTGCACTTTTAAAGAAAGCAAGAACCATATAATAAAACTACTGCTTCTGTTATGTGCTGTTAAGATTTCATCCTTCCATTATCTGAATTGTGGGTTTTTTTTCTTTTTGTTTTAGATAGTAGCTTCTCTGCACTGAGTTGTTAGCTATCTCTGTAAGAAGGAAGAATCATAGAATTTTCTTTAAGGCCAATGAAGTATTTGCAAGCTTCATGCTTAGTCTTTGATAGGGATAAATAGCAAAATACATTTTTAAGCTCTGGTGTTAGTAATCTATTAACAAGAAAAGAACTCTCAGTATTTCTAGCTCTTTCTCTATTCTGAAGGCAAGTTCAGTTCTAGGCAGTATATAAAAATGTGGCTAGTTAAATCAAAATGTTTGAGATGGCCCTAAGTATTCCACAACTGATTACAGAATCAACTTCCATATTTTGGTTTTCAGACTTTACTAAAGTGGAATATTTACAATTATATATTTACAGTGAAAAATAGTGGGGGGGCAACAAAATTTGTTTTTTACGCTGTTCAAAATGTACAAATCTGTAGCATATTTTTGGTCAAAAACCAATTGTAAGTGTATACCTAGATAATGAAAGTAATGTTTCTCTTTTGCATTAATTTTGTACTTTTGATTCATTTACAGGAATTTATTTTAAGGAAATAAATTACTGGGTCAAAGGGTGTTAACATTTTAAAGCTCTTAAAACATAGATCTGTGTAGCCTTCTGGAAAAATTATGCCATGACCACCTGTAGTATATGAAAACACCCCATTTCATCAAATGCTCTTTGCCAGTAAATGACATTTAATTGTCTTGGTTTGCATTTTTATTCATTACTGATATGGTTTAATTTTAACCTCATCTCTTGGTTATTTGTTTTTTTACTTTTTGTGTGTTTGTGAATCACGTTCATGTCAAAAGTTGCTTTTCAGTTTTTCAGAAGCATCAAATAATGTCATCTGAAACGTTGCCAGCATTTGTTGAGACTTCTAATGTTGAAAGAACGCAAGACTTAAGTGAGGATCAAGAGGAGAGCCAGAAGCCAAGATCAGGTGAAGGGTTGGAACCAATATCTAAACGACAAATGAAGAAGCTAATAAAGCAGAAACAGTGGGAAGAACAACGAGAACTCCGCAAGTATGTTTCAAAGTGCCTATGTTCTGGCTCCATTCAGACGTATGGAATGTTGGACCTCGCGTAGCCCTTTCTCACATTCAAAGTAATTGTGTTAATTGAAATTGGGGCTACACATATTGTTAGCTGACATTGTCAGTTGGCTGTTAAAACTGTGTGTGTTTCGATTATTTTCTTTTAGCAATGTTAATGAATTTACACTATACACTTTTTCTCACCCAGAACCTATTGTGAGTAAGCCGCACAGTTTCTGAAACAACTGACTTAGATAAGGGATATAGTTAGTATCCATGTGCTAGATGTGGAACAAAAATAACTACCTCAGAAAGATCAAATTTGGGCCTAATGTTGATTTTGCTAGAACTGTTGCAGGTTTTGGTGAGAGCAGTAAGGCTGAAGCTAATATTGTCTAATGTCAGAATTTACTGGGAGGAAATAAACTATAGTTAATGTAGATCAAAGAAGAAGTCTATGAGTGCTTTTTACAAGTAATTTTACTTTATTTTTTTCCGATAGCACATAAATGTTGCTTGAAGATCATGTAGGGGAAGAATAAAAGAAAAATTCATCATAACTCTCAAATTCAGTATTTATAAAGTTTTCTTGGTATAGTGTGATGCCGATAATACATGAAATTATTAGTAGTGTAGTTTAAGTTTGTAAGGAAAGCATTATATTGTTTTTCAAACTCATTTCCTTCTTATCAAAAGTTTTTAGATTGACTATATAAAATTGCTGATATTTGATCATTTTTGATCCACAGAAGTGGCAATTTCATACGTTAGTTCAAGTCTGCTGATTTAAAAAAGTAATTGTTTCTTTGTCTATTTAGAAGAGGCTTGTAAATATCTGGATATACAAATAACAAAAAGTTATTTTAATTACTAATTTTAGACAAAAGCGAAAGGAAAAACGCAAGAGAAAGCAGTTAGAGCGACATTGTCAACAGGACTCAAACTCAGATGGAAATGACAGAAAACGTATTCGAAGAGATGTTGTTCATAGTACACTCCGCCTTGTCATTGACTGCAGTTTTGACAGCTTGATGGTGTTAAAGGTATCATGAATCACTGTAAGAAAAATCCTGTAGGTAAAGTAGGGTGAATCATTCTTGCTTTAATATGTGATACCACTTTGATATAAATTTGTGTGCTAAAATGTATCTTAAATCAAGTTTTTAAAAATCTGTGCCCCCTAAATTAAACTAATAAATTGCTCATGTGTATATGTATAGACAGAGGGAGAGAGACAGACACCATGATTATATTATAAAAGTCAATAACGGCATATTAGTCATAAGGATCTGTGTGTTTTTATTTGTCCTAATCAAAAAGAAGAAAATAAGAAATATGATTTGCTTAATAGAATTATTTATATTTAATAGTTTGAGAAACCTGATTGTTTGAGCAATGCTAGTGAAGAGAACATGGTTTAATTACTTTCCAAACCATGGGTTAGTTATGAAAATAGTAATAGTATGGCTCTAAGAGAGTTTTTTCTGTTGTTGTTGTCTCTTAAGAAAAGTACATGTTTGATGAACTAGTATTTTAAGTGGATGCAAAATATGAAATATTGGTTCACTTACAGAGTATTGACTTTACTTATGGTAATTATTTTGTTAATATGTGAGGAAATTGAATGGAAATTATCAGAAAAGACTTGTATTTCAAAAGAAAAAATGCATCTATCTAGTCATGGCTTCTGCTTATTCTGTTCCACTGAGATTATGGAATGGTCATAGATGATTTTGAAAATGCTCCTTTAAAAACTGCACTCTTTTATAGGACATTAAGAAACTTCATAAGCAGATTCAACGATGTTATGCAGAAAATCGACGAGCACTGCATCCTGTGCAGGTTTGTTTGAGGAATTTAAAACAGACTCCAGTTTCCTTTTATGTCTGCCTCAGAAAAAGGCATAGATGATCCTAATTGCCTTTACAAGAGTCTTACAGATAATCTTCCTTAGAGAACAAAATGCCTATTTGAAAAATATTTCATTTTTCTGCAAAAATAAAGGAAAATGTTTTAAACGTTTTTTCATGTATGTCATTCTCAGGCACGCTCTGCGGAGTCACCGTCAGTCTTGTGCACATGGACCTGCTGCTCATTTCTGTGTAGTTAAATGTCTGCATTAAGGGATATACACATATTTTCATACCAGTTTCTCAGCTCTCAATTCCTTCCCTTCTGGGGAGTGGGGGAACTCCCCTGCCTCTTGTGTGCTGTGGTACCTGTTGGATAGATTTTTTCTACTTAAAGGATTTTGAGTCACTGATAATTTTGAAGGATACTTCCTTAGCTAGAGTGAGGAAGTGATTTGTGAGACTAGTTGGCTACTCTTAAGAGGAGGGTCTTTTTTCTCTCTGAATTTACTTGAGTTCTAGATGACCTACAAATTAACACTGGCTCACTGATGTTAAGAACCAGAAACTCTTGATATTTTTTGGTTAGCTATATTCTTTTTGTCAAGTGATAATAATTTTATATTTCTCTCACCCTTGATTAGACTTGAAATAGGTATCAGGGTTTAGAATCAAAGGCAAATTACAAAGACTTTGGACTGGTGAAAAGTAACAGCGGTGGCAAAAGAAAGGGAATGGGAACTCGACATGGAAGCAGGGACTTTGTAGAAGAGTGGTCGTTAAGGGCGAGGCAAATGATAGCTGCTTGAAAAATGGGGTGAAAATGTAGATGGAATATGGGAGTTGGTGGGTTATGAGAGAAACAAAATGTCATTTTTCCACAAGTTTGTTCTTGTGTGTTTAAAGCATGTCACAAATTTATTTTTTTCTAGAATGAAAATATTTTGTGTTTCCTTGATGATCAGATGGGTGAATGAGGGAAATAAAATATTGGACTTTCATAGTCATTTGCTCTTTCTTTCTATGCCTACCAATCTCTTTACAGTTTTACTTGACAAGCCATGGAGGCCAGTTGAAAAAGAACATGGATGAAAATGACAAAGGATGGGTCAACTGGAAGGTAATTAGAATAGAGTAACTCTAACATAATTCCAATATATTTATGCTTAAAAGTCTACATTTTTTACCTATATTCTATGTACTGCCAATAAATATAGGAGTCAGCAACCCAAACCCAGTGTATCACTGTACCTAAGTCTAAGGTTACAAGACTGGGAGAAGCTAGAGAGACTGAGATTTCTATTAGTTTGTCCTCACTCTCGTTAAACCTCCCTTGCCATTTTACCACCAACCTAAAACATATTTTGAAAAAGGAAGACTTTTAAAGATCTTTATACAATCTCTGCCTAGTGAACTGTCTATCCATTATTTATAAGAGTGAAGTCACTCTAAAATTTGGAAATGTGAATGCATTCTGTTTCTTCTAAATCTCCACTGTCCCATATGGCATCCACATTCCACACGTGGCTGTTGAACTCTTGAAGTGTGACTAGTCTGAATTGAGATGTGCTGTAAATGTGAACTATACATTGGATTTCAAAGATTTAGTAACCAAAAAAAGAGAGAATGTAAAATATCTCCGTGGAATTTTAAAAACTATTATATGTTGAAATGATAACATTTTGTCTATGTTGTGTTGACTGCAATGTATTATTATAATTAATCTCACCTATTTCTTTTTACTTTTACTAGAAGATTTAAAATTACATATGTGGCTCACATTTTTTTTTATGTTGGGCTAAAGCACTCTCAGTCATTTGCAAAGATGACTAATAGCTCGGCTTTGGTACCATTGCTGAGGAACCCTGGTCTGTATTGGGTTATTCCTATGCTTTTCTTTCTCAAAGCCAGTTCTCTCTGTGACTAACTTTCCCTCTCACACTCACTAGTCCTGTAATGACTACATTTATTTTATTAATAGCTTATAGGGTGAAACATTGTCAAAGACTTTTTTAAGTTTTAAAGTACAGATATTTACCAAGTTTTATGTTCATGCCTGTTTTCCTGAGGCATAATGTAATAAGTTGAAATAGGCATACCTTCAGTTATTTTGTGCCTTGTAAATTTATTATTTATACCACCAGCTTTCCAGAAAGACATGAGTTCACTGGTCTGTATTTACTCAGGTCCTTCTTAGGGCCTTTATTTAAGCATAGGGGTCAAATTTTTAATATACCATTTTCCAGAAAAGTGGCGGTTTATTAATCAGTAGGTTGTACATTTTAGGTGAGAGGTTTCCTGCTTCACTTTTGATTTCCTTAAAAATTATTGGGTAAATGCCATCTGGGCCTGGTGTCACATCCTCTTTTATTCTGTCAATGTAGTTTTCAAAATTCTGCCTGCCAGCTGTTGTTCAGTCTTGGACTTCTAACCTGACAATTTTGGTGAAGGTGATTTCAAATGTGTATCTTTGTAAAAACAGATGCATGGAATTTATTAAATCTATCAGCCAGTTTCTTTTGCTGATTCATGTGGATGTAGAAGAAGTAATTGAAGAAGGCATTCTTTGGCTGGAGAACAGTGTGAGCAAATATGTGACAAAAATGCATTTGTTTTTTTGGAACAGAGATAAAGTTAGAAAGGTAGGTCAGTGCCATATTCAGGAAAGAGTTACTAAATTAAGGAGTTTGAATTTTATCCTACAGATAATGATAAAACACTGAAAATAGTGTTTTAGAAAATGAGTCCTCCATCAGCATGTGGAGGTAAATTGGAGGGATCTGAGGCTAGAGACAGGGAAGTAACATTAGGGGGCTACTTAAATCATTGACATGTGAGGGTGATAAGGAGTTGAGGTAGTAGGCTCTAAATGATACATCGTAACGATATTCTTTCAAACTTCCTATTGTGTGTTTTTGGGTGGGTTTGTCTACGGAACAGAACATAATCATTTTTAGCCAGTCTTCACAAAATCTTATTAATTAATAACATCTTTGCCCTGTGTCTTAAAGGATATCTACATCAAACCAGATCACTATAGTGAATTCATAAAGAAAGAAGACCTGATTTATCTTACGTCAGATTCACCTAATGTCCTGAAGGAATTAGATGAATCCAAGGCCTATGTGATCGGAGGGTTAGTGGATCACAACCATCACAAGGTACTGTTAAGGTTTCATTTTTGCTTTTGCTCATACTTAAAATTGATACATCAATTTTCCTGATAGTAAAAATACTTCTTGATAGTAACAGTAATGCTGATCTTTATTGAGTGCCTAGCAAATTTCAGTCACCTTTCTAGCTAGGCACAGCATTTCACGTACGTTAGTTTGCTTAATCCTCACTACAGCCCAGTGCAGTCAGTGCTGTTATCATCTACCTTTTACAGATGAGGAACCGGAGGCACAGAGAAATAAGTCTAGAACCAATAGTAATAGGTGGTAAAGCAGATATTTGAAACCAGGCGGATTGTTCCAGAGCCCACATACTTAAGTGATACACTATATTGATAGAAGATGATGTTGCTAATCACTGTCTAGGCATTGGTAAAATTTATATCAACTTATACCAAAACTGGTAAATTTATAAGTTTTAAATATGTGATTTTCATGGGATGTGTTTTCTGTTCTTTCATATTCATACTTTTGTCTATTCCCACCTACTCACCCTCATTCTAATGAAAAATTACATAAATACACTTTCTAAAAGAAAACATCATTTTGTACTTTGCCAGCTACTTTGTGGCAGGCCAAATTAACCGAACTAAAGAAAACCATGCTTCCTAAGTGTCTGAGGAAGTATTGTTAGGAGAGTAACAGGAAGGAATTCATTGTTCTTGTAGAGCACACTGTGCAGAAGAGCTTCCCGCAATGCTGGAAACGTTTGTCCTCCTGTCCAGCACGGTAGCTACATGGCTGCTGAGCACGTGACATGTGCACAGAGTGATTGAGAAGCTGACTTTGTGTAAACTGTTAAATTGGAGTGGTCACTGTGGCTGCAGTTGGACAGGGCAGCTCTCTAGCATCATAGGGAATTTTAGCAGAATGATCTGTGGCCTTTTTACTTTTTTCTCAGTGGAAAAATTCTCTTTTACTTATGTGGAACCAAAGTTTTTCCTCTCATGTTGACTGTTTCTCTGAACTAAAACAATTTTGTTTTCAAAAGCACTTACCTCAATCTGTTAGTAAGTATTTGTCCCTAAAATAGGCAAACTACTAGTTGAGAAATTTCGCTCTTCTTTCTCCTCTGCTCTTGTCTTTTGGCTGTTTCAGTTCTGGTTAGACCCAGGCTTTAAGGATTTTAATTTTGAGAAGGGAGAAAATTCATATTCAACATTCTTTTAATTGACAGAAAGAGAAAAATAAAATTTTATAGGCAATTTTTAAAATTTCTAAATTCAGATTTTCATTTAATTTGTCCTTTGTGCCTCTAGTCTTATGTAATGAAACATAGTTTTGTCTTTATATCTTTTACATGTGTGGGAAGAGTAATGGTGCTGCTCTAGGAATTCAGTTTGAGTATTTTAAAGTGAGAGAAAAGGCAGAGTGGAGTGGTGAAAAGATATTTGAGCCAGGAGGCATGAGCCAGGCTTCTCCTGTGGGTCCGCCACTGGGGGCTTTGTGACAGGGGAGGGGACATGTCTCTGGTTTCCTCCTTGTAAACTGGTTAAGCAAATGCCCTAAACATTCTACTTACTGCCCTAAACAAACTGCTACTGTCAGGAGAGTGTTTCCAAATTAGCAGTTAAACACGCACAGACACACACACACACACTTCTTCAGATTACATTCTCTGAACTAAAGTATTTTCTAGAAATTATTTATTCTGTCATAGACTTTAAGTTAAAATAATTTAATGTTCTAGTCCAAGTTATAGTGTCTTTGTTTTAGGGACTCACATATAAACAAGCATCAGAGCATGGAATTGATCATGCGCAGCTTCCCCTTGGAAATTTCGTGAAGATGAATAGTAGAAAAGTTTTGGCAGTTAATCATGGTAAGCTCTGAGGGGATAAACTGAAAATATACCTGAGTGAACATTTTGAAGAAGAATATTACATTTACATTTGGACAAGTACAAAATATGTACCTTGCTGGAGACAAAATTTTAAAGTATAATCATGTGTAATTTGTTTGAATATAGAAATAACACAGGCATGTTTTAGAAAATTTTGAAAATGTAGTAAAGTATAAAGGAAAATAAGCTATAATTTCACTATCCAGAGATACTTGGTATTAACTTTTTGATGTGTTTCCTACCAGTTTTTTCCTATGCATAGATACTGTTTATTACATAATTGGATTTTTACTGTATTGCATAAGATGTTAAAAATCTGGGGTGTTTTTTCCCCCATTTATAATTATATTTTTCCATGTCATTGAATCATTGTTAATGACTATGTAATATTCCACCATCTGAATATATATATATATATATATATATATATAAAATAATTTAACTGTTCTTCTGTTGATTTTTTTTTTCTTTTTACTACTGTAAATAACATTTTAATAGACATCCTTGGACCTAAGTCTTTGCCTGGAGTTTTGCTTTTTAAAACAGTTTTAGTACAGATTTTTGTTAGTACACAACTATTTAGTGGACTCTTTTTATGTGCTAAGCACATTCTCTATAGCAGCATCTAGGGAGTTATAGAAATGAACTTGTTGATTCAGAGAATGAACTACTTCTAAGACTTTGGATAGACAGTGGAAATTACTTTTCCGTAAAGTAATCCTGATTAACCCTTGAGCAGTGTATTAAAGTGAGAGTACCTTGGAGACAGCATTAATATTCTTTACCTCTAATATAGAAAAAAGGCAGGCCAGACGCTCCTCGGAGTGAGTGGCTCTATAGGAAAGACAGAAGAAATTTAGATTAATGTCAACTTTTTTTTTCTGGTTGTTATTAGCACATAAAGGATAAAGAAGTGAGGAGGATAAAGAAGAATAGGCAGGAAAGGAGAAAGGTCCTCTGTCTGCTGATTATCACTAACAAGAGTAGTGGTGAACCCCTGCGTGCCTACGGACTAGATTGAGGGGAATCCAGACAAGGCAGGACAGGCTGAGCACCTTGGGGCAGCTGGCCCTGAGAGCCAGTGGGAGAAGGAAGTGGTAAGGACGGAGTAGTTGTTAGGACATGCTGGCACTCTTCACACAAACACAATGTGTGTTAAAATACAGCATGCAGCATTGTGATGAACTCAGCTAAGAAATGTATGGGCTTTGTCTTTGTTGCAGTGTTTGAGATTATTCTGGAATATCTGGAAACCAGAGACTGGCAGGAAGCATTTTTTACCATCTTACCCCAGCGGAAAGGAGCTGTTCCCACAGACAACGCCTGTGGAAGTTCCTCACATAACAAGAAGTCTGCCAGAGCTGGAGGTGGACTGGACAGTGATTCCAGTGAAGAGGAAAATAGCAGAAATGAACTGGATTCACCACGTGAGGAAGAAAATCGGGATAAAGAAAACAGCACTGAATCTGCCATGAACTCTATACCACACTAATGTCATCTGGGATCTTTGTTTTTTAGTTAAAGGACAAATTAGGAGAAAATGACATGCTTCAGAGAATATTTGAATTGGAAGAAAATTTCATTTGCTCTATTTCTGTTTTTATTTTTTGGTGAGGAAGATTGGCCCTGAGCTAACATCTGTTGCCAACTTTCCTCATTTTGCTTGAGGAAGACTATTGCTGAGCTAACATCCCTGCCTATCTCCCTCTGTTTCATGTGGGATGCTGCCACAGCATGGCTTGATGAGCGGTGCTAGGTCCACACCTGGGATCCAAACCTTCCAACCACAGGCTGCCAAAGGGGAGTGCGCAAACTTAACCACTATGCTACTGGGCTAGTCCCCTCGTTTTCTCTTAGTTCTGTTGTAAATTTTTAAAACTTTCTTTTAAAATAAAAAGCCCTTATAAGAAAACATTTTTTGCTTTTGCATAAGATTTAAATGTGTAATTTTTAAAATAGTTTTCTAAGCCTCTAATGAGTTTTTTGAGAATTTTATTAGTAAAGCTTCATTCTCTTTTTTTTTTACTGGAATGTATTCTTTAGAATGTGCCTTCTGACCTTCAGTTTTATTAGTTTATGTTTATCTCAGTGCCTTTCTGGTTTGCTGTCTGCTTATTTGTGGAGGTACGTATTCCTAAGTCTCCTGCAAGTCTGCCAAGATGTTCTCTGTGGGAAGTTACCTTCTATTTGCAGGTTTTATATTCAGTTTAGTTACTTCAGAGGAATATAGTGATTTTAGGGAGAAGTGTCAGACTGATAAACTCTACAGTCTGTCTTTTGGCTTATGGAGCCTGTCCATGTTCCTCCTTTGTAAGGCCTTTATGTGGTCCTAAAGCAGTCACTGAGAGTTAAGAACCTCTTTAAGGTATTTTCTTACTGCCAATAATGGTGATAAATTATTTCAGTTACAAGATTTAGTTTTTCAGGCCAGATTACTTTAAAAGGCTATCAAAGGATCAGTTTTTTCTTTACCTAAATTTAAAAGCAGCTCATAGCAGCTATCCTTTCCTTCCATGTGTACTTTTTTAAAATAAAATATCTATTGGTTCTTAAAGTGAATAAAGTTAACTTTATATCTGTACCTGCCTACTATCATAGAGTAATAATATTCAAGCTAATGTAAATGTATGTTTCTGTAAATAATATAAGCATGTGTGAAAATATGCATATAATTGTACATACGTCTGTCCACAGTTTGCATGCTGCTCACTTATTAACTGATAACAGGATGGAGTTGCCGTGTATCTGTATTAGCATGAACGATTGTGTTGAACAACACTAAGAAATTTGAATTTCATAAAGTGCAAAAGTCCATAACTAAACATTTGTGTGAGGACGTTGGCAAGGGAAGATGGGGCTGAAAGGAGTTGTTTCAGTTTCCTACTAGTAAACAGTTATGTTTAAAGTACAGTGATTGTTCTTTGTTGCAGCTAAAGTAAGATTTCAGAAGCCTTCACTCAGTTTGGATAAAGTGAGTTTCTGTTCTTTTTATTCATTGGCGTCTCAAATTATATACACATTTGGTAGAGAGTTCACTGCATTTAGGATGGATGTTCACTGTCCCTTACATTTTGTTGCTTTATTCTTAGTAATCTATTATAGTTATCCGTTTAAAGTAAGGTATGTGAGCAAGGTGTGCGAATAAAGAAAAGCCCCTACAATTCAGGAACAAAGCTATGTCTTAAGTTGTGTTTTTCAGTTTCAAGTTTTTGTGAGTAAATGTGGTTTAGTAACATGAAATATTATGCCTTTTAATTGAATTATTCCATAGGGAATGTTTTTGAAAGGTAGGGAAAAATCATTACAGGCACTTGTGTAGTTTAGTTTTCACTCATTATGAAAACTCTGCGTTAGTGTCCTAGAACTGCCGTAACAAACTACCGCAAACTGGGAGGCTCAAAACAACCGAAACTTGTTCTGTCCCTGGAGCCTGGAGGCTGAAGGCGCAGAGTCGAGGCCTGGGTTGAGTCGTGCTCCCTCAGAAGGCTCTAGGGAACAACCTCCTGGCTTGTGGTGGCTGCCAGTAATCCCTGGTCGTCTGTGGCCTCAGCTGTGTCCCTCCACTCTCTCCTTTGTCGTCATACGGCCTTCTACCCCGTCTTCCGTGCCTGTCTGTGTCCCTCTTACAGGGACACCAGTCATCATCTACGGTGGCCTCACGTTAACTTGATGACATCTACAAAGACCCTGTTTCCAGATAAGGTCACATCCACTGGTACTAGATATTATGATTTGAACATCTTGTGGGTAGACACAATTCTGTCTACTCCAAGTCCATATGTTCAGGCTGTTGACGACAAGAAGGCAAAGATTACAGTCTTCACCTCAAGAAGGCAGAGATTAAAATAAAAAATAACTCATTTCTGAGGTATTTATAAATTTGGTTTTTTAAATAATAGTAATCATTTTTCTTAATGTGTTCTTTTCTCTCAACATTGTTTTCCTTTATTGAGGTGCCGTATTTAAAACTTGGTAATATTAAAGACACTTGTATTGGAACTTAAAGGTTGAGAATTGAGTTAGCACTTAAATTCGTCAGAAGGAGATATCTCTACTGGAATAATGGGATTTTCTCTTATTTCATCTCTTTAAAAACCTATGGTCTTCATAAAGCAAGCACATTCTTAAGGGAAGGGACACTCTTCAGACTGATTCTCCAGAGATTAGTGTATTGCTACCTTGGAGCATTTGAAAATGCTCGGAATTGGAATTGAAAAAAGCAAAAAGGGAAAAAGGAAGCAATTCTGAAAGAATGTCTTTTAGGAGGTGCATGAACAATTACGAAACCCACCAATTACCATTACAAAGTAAAGTGATACATCACTTCACATTGTAGATGGAAAAGGTCACTGAGATGATACAGATAAAAGGCAAGCATTGTCCATAGAACACTGAGAATGGACAAACAGCAGTTGTGAAAAAAAATGGCAGGGATTGGAACTAATGACAGCAGTGGCCTACAGTACTCATTAACCGACCTCACCACACAGATATTTGTCTCTGTTTTCCTAGCTCCTTGCCAGACACATAGGGGAGGCACTTAATGAACATGGAGGAGAGAACTAGAGACAGAATCAAGGTAATGCAGTTAGTGGGCAGAGTTGGCTTAAATCTCAGCACTGCCGCTTGTTAATTGTGTGACTGCACAACTTATTCAACCTTTGCAAGTCTCAGAGTCCTCGTTTGTAAATGGGACTGTTAGCCCATTTATCCTGTCAGGGTTAAGCAAGCAATTGGTTTGCAACCAAGCAGCAGCTAACTTAGTTTCTCTGTTGGCATGTCTTCATTGCTTGCCTCATTTCTCTTGTTTCTCACTCTTCCTTTTTGACATTGCCTATCTGAAAAAAGTAGTAATGGATAAATAAGGCTTTGTTTCAGGCTCTCCTTTCTGAGCAACCCAGACTTAGATAATATTTTTAAAATGTGAACTTTTTATATTGTAAGAATCAACACTCATTAAACAAAATATTGAAATCAGATCATTTAGTGAACCGTTCCAAAAAGCAATAAAAACAGACGTAAAATGCAGCAACCACAGAAGACTATGTCTCTGTCCTATCAGCAAATGTAAATGGTCTAAAATCATTCAAATTGGACTTAAAAAACCCAAAACTCAATATATGCTGTATTTGAATAAAGTTACTCAACAATGTTGAAAATAAGGGAGACAGGCAATTGGGCAAACAGAAAAAGAAGACAGAAAGCATAGTCTTAACACTCAATCAGGTTCAACATGTTACAATTAAACAAGGAAAAGAAAGGCATGTTGTAATGTTCAAGATCCTTAGTTCAATCCTCGGTGAAGATCTGATGGTTATGAATATCTATGCACCAAATAGCATAGTATTCCATTTCACTGGGAAAAAACTTCAGGAATTACATGAAATAGCAAGAAAGGCGTTAGCGTAAGGAGACTAATTCAACCTCCCGGTCCATGACAGCTCAAGTGGACAAAACAAATAGATGGGAGATTTAGATGCTGTAATTAATAAGACATATATAATTGACATATATCAAGTTCTGTAGGCTGAAAGCAGTTTTCCAGTGCCCCAAGGAATGTTCGTAAGTGTCTATATATTAGCCCACAAAGGAAAATAAGTTCCAGAAGGAGAAAGAATACAGGCAACTTCTCTGAGAACAATACCTTAAAGTGAAAATAAACTTGTAGGATGGAAGGAAATCGTTACTACCTAGAACTACTTCTTTAATGTCAGATGGTCTTTATAGTAAAAAGCAGTGTTAGAAATAAAATTGGTCATGACTTAATTACAAAATTGTAAACTATGTTCACATATTACTTCAAAATATATGAATCAAAATAGACAAAATTACAAAGACTACAGAACTGCAACATCTACCATAATAGTTAGAAAATTTTAATACACATCTTTGTAACTGGTAAATCAAGCACAAAGAAAAATTAGGTAGAATATGTAAGATTTGAATAGTATAATTAACAAGTTTTGTTTCATGGATATATCTACAACTTTGTGTCCAACAATTTTAAAATCCACATTCTTTACAAGTCATGTAAAGTTTATGAAATTGACTATGTGCAAAGCCTCAGAGCTACCCTCAAGAAAATCAAAGGATTGATTATTTTTATAGATCACATTAACTGACCACAATGCAATTAAACCATAAATTATTTAAAAATATAACAAGTTTGAAAAACATCTATGTGGAATTAAAATTTAAAAATACCTGGGGCCGGCCCCGTGTCCGAGTGGTTAAGTTCACACGCTCCACTGCAGGCAGCCCAGTGTTTCGTCAGTTCAAATCCTGGGTGTGGACATGGCACTGCTCATCAAGCCACGCTAAGGCGGCGTCCCACATGCCACAACTAGAAGGACCCACAACTAAGAATATGCAGCTATGTACCGGGGGGCTTTGGGGAGAAAAAAGGAAAAAATAAAATCTTAAAAATTAAAAATACCTTCCGAACAACTTATGGGTCACAGGAGAAAACAATGAAAATTAGAAAGTATTTAAAAGTAAATTTGATGAATATGTATTAAAACTTGTGGAATGTAACTAAAGCAACATTTAGAGGAAAACTTAGAGCCTAATTGCTTAAGTTAGAACAAGAAGAAAGACTAGTATTGAGCTATGCATTTAATTTAACAAGTTAAAAAAAGAACAGTGGTGCAGTGGTTAAGTTTGCTTTTCCTGCTTCGGCAGCCCAGGGTTTGCTGGTTTGGATCCCGGGTGCGGACCTATGTGCTGCTTGTCAAGCCATGCTGTGGTAGGTGTCCCACATATAAAGTAGAGGAAGATGGGCACAAATGTTAGCTCAGGGCCAATCTTCATCAGCAAAAAGAGGAGGATTGGTGGCAGATGTTAGCTCAGGGCTAATCTTCCTCAAAAAAAATAAAAAAGAACAGCAGAATAAATTTGAAATTGAAAGAGGGAAATAATAAAGATAAAAGCAGCAATAATGAAAAGTAAAACAAACCTACAGTAAAGAGGTTCAAGGCAAAAATCAACTCTGTGAAAAGACTAAGAAAATAGATGAACCTCTACAAAATTAAACAAAAAAATTTTGAGAGAAGGCACATATAATGATATAGAAATGAATAATGGAGATATTAAATGGGAAACAAATGGATGTTATAAAATACTTTATGTCAATACATTTGAAAGTTTATACGAAATGACTAGGTTATAAAAATAAATAAAAATTACCAAAAATAATTCAAGAAAAAAATATTTAAAACCCCAAAGATTTTTATAATTCTAACTACATTGATATATTTTGAAATCTATGACCAAATGTTCCATATGCATATCTATGAGACACACCAAAAGCAAAAAAATCACCTTACACAGATTTTTTGTGGAAAATTAAAAATGAGAGAACAATCATTTTATGAAGCTTGTTAACTGTGCTGTTCAATTCATATATTTTCCCACTTATTTTTTTAATTATCATAAAAGCATATTAGATTTACCATGTTGACTCTTTTTAAGTGTGCATTTCAGTTGTGTTAAGTAGATTCACATCATTGTGCAACACATCTCTAGAACTTCTTCATCGTGCGACTCTGAAACTCTATACCCATTAAACGCTAATTCCCCCTCCCCCATGTCTTTGGCAATCACCTTTCTACTTTCTATTTCTATGATTTTGACTATTTTAGATATTTCATATGGTGGAATCATAACTATTTGTCCTTTTGTGACTGGCTTGCTTCGCTTAGCCTAATGTCCTCAAGCTTCATCCATGTTGTAGCATGTGACAGAATTTCCTTCTTTCTTAAGGCTGCATAATATTCCATTGTATGTATATACCACATTTTCTTTATCCATTCATCTGTTGATGGACACTTGGATTTCTTCTACCTCTTGGCTATTTTGAATAATGCTGTTGCGAACGTGGGTGTGCAAATATCTCTTAGAGATCCTGCTTTCAATTCTTTTGGATATATACCCAGAAGTAGGATTGCTGGATCATATGGTGATTCTATTTTTAATTTTTTGAAGAACCTCTATACTGTTTTTCATAATGGCTGTACCATTTTACATTCCCATCAATAATACATAAGGGTTCCGACTTCTCCACATCCTTGCCAACACCTATTTTCTGTTGACAGCGGCCATCCTGATGGGTGTGAGGGGTTAACCCATTGTGGTTTTCATTGCATTTGCCTAGTGGTTAGTCATGTTGCACATCTTTTCATGTACTTCTTGGCTATTTGTATATCTTCTTTGGAGAAATGTCTATTCAAGTCCTTTGCCCATTTTTAAATTGAGTCATTTTTCTCTCATTGAGCTATAGACGTTCCCTGTATATTCTACATATTAACCCCTTATCAAAAATATGATTTGCAAATATTTTCTCCGTAAGTTGACTTTTCACTATGGTGATTGTTTCATTTGACACGAAGTTTTAACGTTTGGTAGAGTCCCACTTATCTTTTATTTTGTTGCTTGTGTTTTTGGTGTCATATCCAAGAAATCACTGCCCAATCCAATGACCTGAAGGTTTTCCCCTATGTTTTGTCTCAGAGTTTAATGGTTTTAGGTCTTACGTTTAGGTCTTTAATCAAGTTTGAATTAATTTTGTATATGGTGTAAGGTAACTTCATTCTTTTGCGTGTGGATAGGTAGTTTTCCCAGCACCAATTGTTGAAGATACTGTCCTTTCCCCATTGTGTAGTCTTGACATCCCGTGTTGAAAATCATTTGGCCATATCTTCAGGGTTTATTTCTGGGCTCTCCATTCTGTTCCACTGGTCTATATGTCTATCTTTATACCAGGACCACACTGTCTTAATTACTACTGATTTTTAGTATGTTTTGAAATCAGAGAGTGTGAGGATTCCAACTTTGTTCTTTTTTCAAGATTGTTTTGGCTGTTTGGGATCCCTTGAAATTCCATACGAATTTCAGAATATTTTTTTCTATTTCTGCAATGCGTCATTGGGATTTTGATAGGGATTGAGTTGAATCTGTAGATGTCTTTGGTAGGATGGACGTTTTAAGAATATCGTCCTTCAATGCATGAGTGTGGGATGTTTTTCCATTTACTTGTTTCTTCTTTGATTTCTCTTAGCAATGTTTTGTAGTTTTAGATATACAAGTTCTCACTTCCTTAATTAATGTTTATTCCAAAGTATTTTATCTTTTTTGATGATATAGTAAATGGGATTGTTTTTCTTAATTTCCTTTTTGAATAGGTCATTGTTAGTGTATAAGAACGCAACTGATTTTTGAGTGTTGGTTTTGAACCATCAACTTTCTGAATTTGTTTATTAGTTCTAACTGGGGTCTTTTTGGTGGAATCTTTGGAGTTTTCTACATATAAGATCATGTCATCTGGGCCAGCCCTAGTGGCCTAGTGGTTAAGCTCAGTTCTCTCCACTTTGTGGCCCAGGTTCAGTTCCCAGGCGCAGACCCACACCGCTCTATTAGTGGCCATGCTGTGCTGGTGGTCCACATACTAAAAATTAGAGGAAGATTGGCATGGATGTTAGCTCAGGGTGAATCTTCCTCAGCAGAAAAAAAAAAAAAATCATGTCCTCTGTGAACAGAAATCATTTTAATTATCTTCTTCCCCTTCTTTTCCAATTTGTATGCCTTTTATTTCTTTTTGTCAGTGTCTGGCTAGAACTTCCAGTACTATGTTGAATAGAAATGGTGAGAGTGAGCATCCTTGCCTTGTTCTTGATCTCAGAGGAAAAGTTTTTAATCTTTCGATGAATATGATGTTAGCTGTGGGCTTTTCATATATGGTTTTTATTATGTTGAAATAGTTTCCTTCTCTTCCTTGTTTTTAAGTATTTTTATCATGAAGGGTGTTGAATTTTGTCAAATGCTTTTTTGGCATTGATTGAGATGATGGTGTGACTTTTGTCCTTCATTTTGTTAATGTGGTGTACTGCATTGATTGATTTCCATATATTGAACCATCATTGCATTCCAGGTATAAATCCCACCTGAAAAACTTATGCTAATAAATCATAATGACTGAATATAACCATATGTAAAACATTCAACTCAGGACATTAGAACAATAATGAACCTAAAGAAACTAAAAGAAACAAAGAATGAAAGGAGGTATTAATGAAATAAGAAATAGGAATATTGTAGAACATAGCACTAAATCCAAGATCTGGTTTTTTGAAAGTGATAGTAAAATGTAAAAAGCCACTAATTGAATCCAAAAAATTACAAATACATAACAATGAGATTGCAGAATAAACATAGTGAGGAATTTAGAAGAATTATGAGAATTATCAACTCTGAAAATAAATTTGGAAACCTGGATGAAATGATTACTTTTATAAGAAAATAAAAATCTCTTAAATTGATCCTCCAAAATACAGAAAATATAACCAGGCCAGTTATCATAGAAGAAATAAAATTGTCAAAGTGTTACCACCTCCCAAACCTCCAAAGCTACCTGGTCAGATAGGTGAATTTTATTAAGTTTTCAGGGAGAAGGAATCTGCAATGCTGTTACCACCTCTCCTTAACAGGAAAAAGAGAGAGCGCGCTTCAACATTAATTTGTGAGGTGAGCATTGTCTTGATACGTATTGGCAGTGTCTAGTGGTGAAGCGTGTAGATTCCAGCCACGCTGGGAGCCAGTCACTAAACCTTTGTGTCAGCGTTGACTGTCAACCAAAGGCCAATTTTCCTTTTCGTAGAATATAGCTGTAGCTGTGATATGATTTCTACTTAAGAATTTTATCAGCCCCCTTTCAGCTAGACTGGTTCTCAACCATGGAACGTGACCAGAAGTGATGTTTCCCACTTCAAGTCCAAGACTTTAAGCAGATGTAGCCTCCTTGTATAAGGCAGAATAATGCCCCTCCCCCCAAGATCCTACTCCGTGGAACCTGTGATATTACATGGTAAGGTGCAATTAAATTGCTAATGATTTGACCTTAAGTTTATCTTGGATAACCTGGAAAACAGGCAGGCCCGATGCCATGACAGGGTCCTTAACAGTGGAGGAGGGGACAGGAGAGAGGGTGTCAGGGAGATGAGTTGTGAGAAAGGCTCAACCAGCCATTGCCGGCTTTAAAGATAGAAAAGGGGTCATGAGCCAAGGAGCATGGCAACTTTTAGAAGCTGAAAAAGGCAAGGAAACAGATTCTGCCCTAAATCTTCCACAAGGAACGCAGCCCTGCCGACACCTCCATTTCGGGCCTCGGCCCCCAGAACTGTAAAAGATTAAAAGTGTGCTGGCTTAAGCCCCTACGTTTGTGGTAATTTATTACAGCAGCTATAGGAAACTAATACTTTCCTCCACTCTCTTTTTCCCCCTTTGTCAGCAGGATGCAGTTAACGGTGAAAACTTAGGTGATGGCTGAGCCACAGGATGGAAGAATCCTGGGCCTCTGAAGCACCAAATAAAGTGAAATCATCTGCTGACTGAAAACATATGCTTTGGACGTAAAGGATTTTAAGGATTTTAAAGAGTGAGCAATAGACCTCTGTAGTATTTGAATGGTGACATTTGTTACAACTGTTTATCCCATCCCAGTGAGTACAACTCTCTGTGCCTCAGTTTTTTATTTAAAAAAAAAAAGAGAATAACAATAGTGGTTACCTTAAATATTTATTGTGAAAATTGTTACTATATCAAATGATTCCTGACGCACTGGAAGTGTGATATGTCATCATTAAGATTGTGTGCATTCACACATGTACTCACACATGCACAATTTATAGTATCTTTCTAAATGTCAGTGCAAACATTCTAAATAAAATTTTGGCTAATTAGTAGATAGAATCAAGCAATACACTGAAAGAATAATGGTCATCGCCCAAGAGTGGTTTATTTTAAAAGTACGAAAGTTCAATATTAGGAAATTTGCTAATATCATTCACAATTTGCGATGAGTGGAAACTAGCTCCTTTCTGGCTCATAAGGTAGGGATAATTTTTGTTTCTTTTCTTGTTTGGAGGGAGGTAAGCATTTTTCTATAATAGTCCAACAACATTGAAACACTGTGAATTGTGGAAAGTAGCTCAGATGTTAGAATTCTGGGTTTTGTTTGTTTTTCTTCTATCAGAGTCTGGGGTGGGTATCAGATTAAAACGACTAATTCTGGTTATGGATGATGGGCCCTGTGCTTATGTACTAATACTAAGGGTGCAAGACTGGAAATGGAATATATACATACTCATATTTCTTTTACACATGGCATTAAAATTAACTACAAATAGAAACATTGTCTCCATTAATATTTATTTGGTGACATTATATACAGATGCTTTGAGATTTACCTGTGCCACCACATAGAGGATGTATTGATTCCTTGACACAAGAATATTTTTTTAAAATAATTTGACGTTGTAACAAAGTGAAGCCTATTTGTGAAAGACTTAGCTGGGTCGAGAATCTCTACCTGTGGTATTTCACAGGATAAAACGCTCTCTGGGGAGAGAGAACGTCTCCTTGTTGTATGCTCTTGCTGAACCTGCTTTTGTTGCTACGCTCTCCTGAGTTTTAGGCCTAGGAGGAGACTTTGGTTTGCTGAAATATTCTGTAATAGGTATTTTCATCTCATTTCTTCTTATAAACAATGGGGACTTGTGCTCAGCCTCTGAAATAAAAAAAAATATATAAACAAGACATTATATAATTAAACATCAAATATAGTTTCTGTCGTGTTTTGGTAGCAAATGACACACAAAAACTACATGAAGTTTAGAGGAATCAAATATACCCCAAATTCATAAAGAAATCTATTCTTATCTTTCTTTCTTAACACCTGCTCATCTTTGATGAGTTGTTTGTTCTATAAAATGCAGTATATGTTCTTTCACTCTTAGAATCAAACATTATTTTGGTAGGAATGATTTAGAGCTGGTAAAGGTGATGGGCAAGGATGGGACCAGTGAGAGAAAGGAGAAGGATCTGTGGTCTTGACAGACAAAAGAGAAGATAGACAAGTAGGTTAAAACAATTGTACTCCTAAGACTTTCCTAAGGCCTACATGGTTATAACAAGCAGAAATAAGGATTTGGGGAGATGCTGAATATCAACACTGGAGACAAAGGGCTATGATGTGGGGATTCTAATGCAAAATTTTCCAAATATCTAGACAGGGTAGAATATATTTGGGGCCTATAATGAAGACATAGATAAGTAATAGAAACCGTCATTGTCATGGGGTCGGCCCGGTGGTGCAGCGGTTAAGTTTGCACATTCCACTTTGGCGGCCCGGGGTTCGCCAGTTCTGATCCCGGGTGCCGACCTACGCACCACTGGTCAAGCCATGCTGTGGCAGGCATCCCACATATAAAGTGGAGGAAGATGGGCATGCATGTTAGCTCAGGGCCAGTCTTCCTCAAAAAAAAAAAATTTAAAAAAAAGAAAGAAACCTTCACTGTCATGACTTACAGTCCTAGGGCAAAGAGTGTGTTAGGAGAAGTCAGATACGCTAGGCCATCCTCGGAGTGTCAGAGTAAGGGAGTATTTTCTAATTTCTAAACTACAGTTATTTTATTCCCTATTAGTAAATAGAGCCTCTTCTGGGTCTGGTTAACCACAAAGGAAATTGCTGGGGTCTAGAGTGACCTCAAGGAGCTCTAACTCGTTACCATATCATTCCTGGTCAGAGGTGAACCTGTAGAAATAACGAGACAGCCTTCTGTTTGAGGCTTGCAGACATACTTCATGGTTGTGGCTCTGGAGTCATTGTTGCTGTGCTTATTTTAAAGCTAGGAGTTGCCAAACCCACAGGGACATTCAAATTGGGCTATTCTGGGCCAAAGTAGGCCTTTCCACAATTCTTCAGTTTTCTTGGTTCAAATTGTAGGCTGGGGCTGGACTTCTGGTGGGGACACAAAACTGCTACTCTATTGATTTCACAAAATTGCTACTCATGGGGCATCAGCTTGTGGCCGGTTGCCGTTTTACTATTTTCTCCAGTAGACTTTGTTTTTAGTGAAAATCATTTAGCTCAATGACAGGTAAGCTGTCTAGATGCAAAACTCTGAGATCATTGTCCTTTTGTGAAGTCAATGCAGGGCTTCTCCTGTCGCTGGATTGGTGTGACCAAACCTAGAGTTCCTGCTGTCCTGCTTCTCAAAGAGTGTCCCTGATAAGGCCCTCTGCCTTTCAAAACAAAGTTAATTTATGTCAAATCTATCTCTATGAGAAATTCAGCAGATGCTGTGCCTCAAGTGCGGCTGGAAGTCACTACAGTATTATACTGCCTTTAAAACCATCGATCCTTAATATCTGTGTTCCTAACTAGTTAGATACTTACTGGTTTCCTTATACCAATTCAGTAATTATCACAAACTGTACTTAACCTTTCGGCACTTCCTTATTTCCTTCAGATCCTTGACTTGATACTCTAAATCAGTTGGAGAAAGAGAAAATGAAATTCACAGATAGAAACGAGTACTTTCTATACAAAAAAACCCCTTTGTTTTTCAATGCAGACAGTATTAAATTTACTTTCCAATGAAAGATTCTGACTTTGAGTAACTATCTAAACAGTACATCACTAAGGTAGAGAGACTGACCCTGACTATCTCCCAGTTTCCAACTGTATGGAAATTTTAAGGTGGAGACAAATTGTAGACAAAATTCTCCTCTGTCATGGTGCTTTTTAAAATGACATATTATGTCTTTTGAATATTTTTCTCTGAATTTAAGCTTTACCCAACTTTTAATTTTAAAGCAACAAGATTTTCCCTCCCAGCTTAAATAACTTCTTACCGCCTTCTTTCACCATGATATTATACATAAATGTGTATTTTCTTCTGTTATTGAAATTACAAATTTTAAGAAAAATTTCTACTGAAATAATTTCCAATTCCCTTAACAGTTATTTTTCCCTCTGGCAGCCCCCAGGAATATTTCAGAGAAAATTAAGTGAAATCATTTATTTTATTCTTGCATTGTTCCACACAAAAAAAGTGATACCTATGTGATAGGCAATTAACAAATTATACAATAACAATACAATTTTGGTTCCTTTTATTGCTTCTATTTTTAGGTAAACTAAAAAACCCTACATTTTCTTGGATTTCTGAGTGGCTACTCTTCCTTTGCCGTTGTGGAAAATGAGCTTTCCTCAAAACAAAGGTTGTTGGGAAAGGAAGACACAGCCCTGCCAAGATGCTCTGAACAACCCGATTCAGAACGACGCTCATGCTACATTCCCTCACTGAATCAAGAGGAGACTTATAACCTCAGCGTGTTTAGTATTTCGAAAGATAACAAGAAGCAAATTCCAAGTCGTTGTGGGCCGCATGGCCTCTAGGTGGCCGTCGTGTCTAATTACCTGGCCAGGTGAGGTCCTTCCCTAGATCTGGTCAGCACTTTTGATTTTGCGGTTGAATTTAGGGGCGATTTAACTTTGGGTGGCTTCCCAGTTTCTGCTGCTGGTTCTGCTGAGGTGTTTCTTCGCTGGTGAGCCAATAAGTTTATCTCAGTCAGCTCAGCGTGAATCAAAGCTGAGATCCACTCTTTTTCTGATTGAAAAAAAGGAGGGGGAAGAAGGTTCTTATTATCACGTTGGCGAGAAACACAGGATTAGTTCTTTTGCCCAGCACTCCAGTGTGAAAGGCTGGTAATCTGTGTTCCCGGTAGGCACCTGTGTTTGAGTCAAGGTTTCTGCAGAAAAGTTGGTCCACATCAACCTAGTTTCTGTTGACCTGTGATCCTGTGGACTGCCCAGCGGAGTTAACTCACTGAGGTACTTGTCCTTGAAAGGCAGTGGACTGGTTTTTAAATACTGAGTACAAAACCCAGCCTTACAGGCCACTGCCAAGTGAAAACACAAGGATACCTATACAAAATAATAAGTACAATATGATCTCATTAAAATACAGACCAGTAGTTAACTACTACATAGTTACAAGTATATTTAGAAAGATTTACACCAAAGTATTCAGTGAAATGATGTCTGTGATAATTTAATTGATTATTGCTCTTCTTTTGTTTTTTCTTTTTTCTAGTTCATCTGTTTTTCTCCCCCAACAGTAAGCACTTATTATTTCTGTAATTTTTTTTGTTACATTCTTAAAAAAGAAAAAAAAAATAGAGAGCAACTAAAGATTCCCTACCTCCAAAATACTTCTCAATTGCCTGCCAAGTTGTCCTGAATTCCTGGGGTAAGGTACTATTTCCAAAATGCTTCCCATTTAAAAACATTACTCTGTCCCTAATACACTGCTATTTCCTGACTTTGCTTAGTGCAGTCTCAGAGAGGCCCCAGACCAGCATTATCAGCATCCCCTGGGAACTGTTAGAAACGCAAATTCTCAGGCCCCACCCCCCTCAGAAGTTTTCACGGTGAGTCTGATGACCAGCTAGGTTTGAGGATAGCTGCTCCATGCTATTTATGGTTGTCCCACTGGAACTGTCGTATGTTTTCATGGAACAGACCAAGAAGGGCCTAAAGATGATGAACTTGATGGTTTTGGTGGAGAATTGGCAGAGCTGTTGGAATCTGGAACTTGGAAGGCTGGGCTCCTGCCTGCATACCAAAGAAGGAAACAGGCTCTGGGTTCAGGGAGAGCCCTGGATGTGTGGACTTAAGAGGAGAAAGGCAAATCAGCCCTGGATACACGTGTTTCAAGTCACCCAAAGAAGTTCAGTTTGGGGCATACCTAATTTTGGGTCATTGAATGACCAGCTTACATGCAGTTGGGTTTACAGGACTGCAAAGACTCTGAGACTCAAACACTAGGAAAATCATATTGCGACGCCAAGGTAGAAAACTTCAAATACTGGCACATTCCTCAGTGTTTGCAAATGCTTATTTTAATCTCACCTTTTGAACTTGCATGAAGCAGCCACTGTAGAACTTCTGCCAGAGAATCGGTATGTAAAATGTTGCAGAGCTTTGCCAGAATCTGACAGAAAATATTAGAGTTACATGGTGAGCAAATAAATCGTACAGCCACAAGGTTCCCTTTACTTTTTCCACAATCTCGTCTTCCCAAATGTCACTCTGTGCATGATGCTCAATTAAATCAATTGGGATTTAACTTGGGAGCCAAATTTCAAATAATACACAGTGGAATCTTAACAAAACACCTCCAATACAAGTAATAGTTTAGGTTAGGCGAGGCAATGTTTCTCTTGTTTTGTCTGTTCAGTACCAAAATCTTCCGGAGGAGCAATTCACTATTTGTGTCTTGGGGAATTGATCCTTTCCCACTGCCCTGCGGGGCTCTAAAGGGGGTCTTCCAGTCACAGAGCTGTCCCCATCTGTACTGCTCCTCTTGGGAGGGGGTGAATCTAGCTGGATTCATCATTGTGCCTCGGTTCCCTGAAGACAGTGATTGGCACAATGAAATAGAAATATAATTCCATTTTGTCAATCAGAGTCATTCCTTGACATTTTTTATCTGAGCTAAGGGCTGAAGTGTGGATGATAGAGGAGACAGATATATGCAATAATTCTAATAAAATGGACTATAATAAGCAGTAAAGTACAAGTATTAAACACATGTAATGATATTTCCAGTTTGACCCTAAATTCTATCTGTTTTTGGAACATGGACATATCTGAAATTCACACGTGTCTCCTGAACCTCAGTCTTACATATCCATCTGCTTACCAGGTGCATGCACTTAGATATACTATAGGTACTTTGAACCCAAAATATCTAAAACTAAACCCATCTTTCTCTTCCTAAAACCTGCTCCAAACTTCTTGTTCCTCCTGGTTCCCCTGTGTCAGTGGACAGCACCAGCATACATTGAACGTACGTCCAAGCCAGACCCCGGGATTCATCCCGGACAACTCCCTTTTCTACAACACACTGCCAAACAAGTTTAGTACATTCTTCTTTCTAAATTTTAAATCTCTCCGTTTCTCTTTATCCCCACAGTCTTGACCCAGTCTACCCATCATCAATACTTACACTACTGCAACATCCTTTTTCTTAGTCTCTCTGCCCAAAATCTTCTCTTAAAATACTATTAATTCCACAAATATTTGTGTCTGTCATTGATCCAGATGCTGGAGATATAGAACTGAAATTAAAGGGCGGAAAAACCCACTGGCCTGTATTGAGCTTTGTTACATTATTAAGATTCCTGTCCTCAATGATGCCATATCCCAGAAGAGAGTAAGTTAAAGTGCTTGTAATTTCACAATGAATCAATGGCCATGGCAAAAATAGAAAAGGAGCCCTATGGTATTCTCTAGACTAGTCTGCCTCTAATGATTTTTCATCAATATGGTGATTGCACATTACTCCCAGCTTCTTCTGACTCATAGAGCACTCGTTGATCAACTTTGAGAGAATACAATTATACTTTCAGTGAGAGGAAGTGTAACATACTCTTCTAGGAAACCTCTTGCTTTCTCTTCATTGAGTTTTATTCTGGGTGGTAGTTAACATATCGGTAGTTGAGTTTGATCTGTTGAAGTTGGATTTTAGGATTTGAAAGTGTAGGTCTAGAGTACTCTATTCTTTTTTAAAGTGTGACGTTTCTGGGGTCTCAGCTGAATTCCTGGTGTGTTCAGCAAAGTCTTTCCACTCTGGCAGATCAGAACTCTGTCATCTCTAAACAGCGTGCGACCTCCCATTAGCTCTCTTCTGCCAGGTCTCCATCTCACCCCGTGTGTGTGCAGGTTCTATTGGGCTAAAGACTCATGGAACCCGGTGTAGATTTTGAGAACTCTTTCTCTCCACAAATCCCTCTACTTCAGTATCTTAATTCATAAATTCCAACTACCTCAGCATCCCCAAATTCTAGCCAGCGAAGCGGTTATTCTCGATTTGGGCTCCACTTCTCTGTGATTAGGAATGTGCCGCAGGTGGAAATCTGGGTTGAATGTAGGAATCAGCCCAATTGTTTCCCTTCTCTCAATGGTCATAAATCTATACTGTCTGTTGTCAATGTCTAAAAACAATTTTTTTTTATGTATTTTCCTCAGTTATATAGTTGTTTATAGTAGGAAGCTAAGTGTTGAACCTTATCTATTATTCTGGAAGCAGAGAACCTTGCCTGCAATTTTGCCTCCAACTCCAAAATTAATTCTGTGTATTGTATCTACAGTGATTTTTCTAAAGTACAACTCTGACCATGTAATTCTTGTACTTAGAAGGACTTCAGTAGAATTTAAAATTCTTCACTGCATCCCACAGCCCTGGGATGAAATCTGAATACCTCGCTATGGCTCGTGAAGGACTTGATCATCTGGTCTCTGCTGCAGTCTCCAGCCACATCACGGCACCCTTCTCCCTGCACGCTCTGCGGCGGCCGTACTAACTGCTTTTAGTTCCTCGAGTAAACAACGCTCTCACCTCTTAGCCTCTAGAGATAAAGGTCTCTTGACTGGGAATTATCTCTTCCACACTTCTCTTCATCTTCTAATTCTGTCTTAAACATTCTTTAGGTTTCTTTCTCCTGAAGACTCTCTTAGCCCAAAATCTCCTCCTGTAAGTTGTTAGAATGCCTGTACAATCCCTCTAATAAGGTATGTGAATGAAGGAGCCAGTTGGATCCCAACTCTAGTATTTTGTTGTTTGACACTAAATATTTATAGAACAAGTGAATGCGTTTGGTAGACTTTTTGATGTCCATAGTAAAGAGACTATTATTTTTATAAATTCAGGATCTTTGGGAGGAAGGCTAAAAACGAAATACTAATAGACACAGAATTTTGTTTTTCTTTCCCTTTAAAGTAATTGTGAAGCTGCATACTCTTTCATACACACCCCAGCACAAACATTTCTTGATGTCAAAACCCATTCAGAGTTACCAGCCTGTATGGTAGGAAATTGGAAGATATTTCAGATTTTTTTGTGGACAGTATGGAGGGATGGAATACCACCAAGACAAGCGCTATGCTTAGGACTCAAAAAATCTTGGTAAGACCTATTTTCTCACTTTACTCCCTCTCCTTTCATTTATTTAACAAATTGCCAACAACTATTTGATAAAATGCCATGCTATGTGTGCCAGTTAATATTTTTCAAGCAAAGTGATTCACTAATTAGGAATTAGTGAAAGGAATTAGTTGTGAACAAGACAGACAAGATCCCTTCCTTCAAAGAGTCTACATTTTAGCAGATTTTGTATCAATTGATGTCCAGTTAAGTCAATATCTGTAAGGTGGAAGATGCTTTTGAGAGGAGCACTCTTTAACAGATGCCCACAAGGCCAGTTCTACAGGATCATGCTGGTCTGTTGATGTGCCCAGGGAAGTGAGACAGCCTTACCAAAACTGGTCTCAGTTTGTGGTTTGGTTGAGTTGAGGGCCCGTGTGGTTAGCTAATCTTCTACAGCTTCACTTTGGTCTTGATAGAAGTTTTCTTTTTAATTTATGTATTCAACATTTAATAAATACTTATTTAATAATTACTAGGTACCTAGCACCTCTCTAGGCACCGAAGATAAAGCAGTAATCAAGACAGACCAGTATGAGATCTTATAAGACTTAAATTTTAGTGTGAGTGGTGTGTGGAGGCAGAGATGATATTGAAATAAATACATACATATGAACATATCAGATATGGCAATGTGCTATGCCAAAAATAACAAAGGCCAATGGGATATAGTATGACTGGATAGAGAGCTACTTTAGATTGGATGGAGAAGAAATTATTTCTGAATGAGTGATATTTAAACTGAGACCACAATAGAAGAGGGTGACTACTGAGAGGATCAAGGAGAAGAGAATTCTTAGTAGGGGAAGGCCCCTAAGGGTGGGAATGAGCAAAGTACAGAAAGATCAGTGGTGCCAGAGTGTGGTGGGTAAGGTGGACAGTAATTCTGAAGACTCCGAGTAATATAAGGTCTTTAGCCAGAATCGTCAGGAAACATATAAACACAAGTCAAGTCTGCAGATACTCTCTTTTCTTTTCCTCTTTTCCTTTTTTTCTCCTTCCCAATTTTAGTCATCAGCATAAAGTATTATACCCAATGCCACTGTTATGCTTGACTTTTAAAATAGTTCTTTATCAGGATTATTCAATAACAATCCTTATAGCATGCTCTGTTATTTGTAATTGCTGCTACAGATACTTATTTAAAGCCACTATTGGAGTCATCATTACAATATTTTGACCCTTGATTCATTGCAATTAGTCTTACAGTGAGGCGATGTGGAAGTTACCCAAAGGATCAAAGGAGGAAAACAAAGAATGGCAGATGACAAACATCAGCTGATTGATTGATTCTTGACTGTATGCCCTTCTCAGCAATAACTGTGGCGAGAACCTTCCAGAAGTCTGATGTGACATTTTACTATTAATACAACTAAATTGATAAACCCAGGCAGAGAAAGTTTGAGGAAACAGTTTTTCACGGATAAGAGGAGAGATGAATTTGATTGGAGGAATCTCTGCCTTAAAACATGTGAAGTAAATGTATAGGCAATGGCAAGAAGTTGGAGGCAGTGCCTATCAAGCATTAGGAGGATGATGAAGAAAGACAGGGCAAGAAGAGGGCCGAGTCTGTTAGGCGAACACCAAGCTTTTCATTAGGTCTAAACCAAAGATTGTGTTTCTGTAATACCGACAGGATTCCAGGGGGAAGTAACACTGGAAATAAAAACAGGAGCAGGCCTTGGGTTTCAGGCTAAGTAGTTTTAAATCAATTCAGATGTCAAAGGGGAACATTAAAGAGTTTTAAGGATGCTTATGACGTGATTTTTTGTATATTTATGCAGTTCCCAAGTTATGGATCCAAAACACCTGCCTCTTACTTTGATTTCCTGATCCAGATAGCTTGGTATGCGAATAGTGTTCTCTTTGACGTCAGTCTTGGTATGTATCGCCTCCGAAGAACAGGAGCCGGAAGTGGACCATGCCTGTGGAGGTGATGGTGGATCCTTTTCCTTAATTTCTTCCTAAATCAAAGGTATAATATAATCAACATGCATTGGTATCCACTTACATTTTCTCTGAAAATTGAATGTAAAAAGAGTGAGAAATATTGTAGCTAAATGAGAAACATACGTGAAAGTAAAAAGGAGGTTAGTTTTAATCCTCCCTTAAAAATCTAATTATCAAATATTTGCATTTGGAGACAAAACAAAGGTGATATATTATTTACTTTTCATGAACGCATTTTAAATCTTTGGTTAAACATCAAGATAATAAGTTTTTAATGTTTAATGTGTAACCTTTATTTATCTTGCTGCTCCAAATAACAACCAACTCATGGCATGAGATTTTCTGTTGAGTGGGAAGCTTTGCATTCTAGGACTGGAAAAAGCCAGCTGAGAGGTTTTATGCCATGTCTGTGAAGAAACTACCTGGTGTGAACTGCTGCTTCCATGCTTTGCTAAATGGCAGCTGGGAGCTGGAGAATGAAAGAGGTAAACTAAACTTCCCTAACGAGTTGGAAGAGGAAATAGAAGGGCTATTTTTTGTTCCGGGAGGCAAATATAATGTTTGCAATTTTTTAAAAAGAGCTTATAAGAGCTTTAAGTCCAAGAAGAGTTATAGAAGCCTTAGATCGGTGTGCCTATTTCAAGAAAGACATTTTTTAACCTTTAGAAGTGAGTGACATACAAACAAACACAGAAGCTAGTGGCTGAATGTGTCAAGAACCAGGAACTGACAATTGGAATTGACACAACAATATTTAACTATTGATGTTTAGTCAAAATAAAGCTATATTATATATAGATGCATTCTTCTGTTAAAGTTTATTATGTAGACTTCTTATCTTGAGGAATAGCAATATATTTTTTTGTTCAACCCTCCCTCCAAACACAACTAACAAGACAGATTAAAAAAATAAATAAATAAAACCGTCAAGGAGTGAATAAGATAGGACTTAACAGATGAAAATGAAGGGGAAATGAGAAGCCTGAGATGGAGCAGCGCAGTAGCCGTTTTGCCCTTAGGTCACTGTCCGATCCTGGAAAATGAAAACTTTCCTTTCGAAAGTCTTCAAGGTCCTGGAAGACAGGACTCAAATCTCAGGACCCAAATAAGGGCCAACAAAGGGCTATACCCTCAAGGTGAAGGTAACCTAGAAGAGCAAGGATTTGAAGAATAAGTAGCCCGAGATCAAGGCTTGAGCTTGGTTGAAGTTGGTCTAGGCTAGTAGGTTCTACTACTCTGGGTTCCTACAGAAGCAACACAAGTTCTCTCTGGAAGAAAGTCCATTTATCATGAACTTCAGGTTCCTACAAGTAATTTTTCATATATAATGTTCAGCAGTTAAGTCATGAGTCAAAGACGAAATTATAATGTGAATTAGAAAAAATTTTAACTTCATGCTAATGAAAATGCTACATAGCAAAAATTATGAAAGCAACTAAAGCAATCCTCAGAGGGGAATTTATAGCTTTAAAATATGTGTATTAGAAAGATAAAAGAAGTTAGAAAAAGAACAAAAAGTATGTGAATGGAAAGAAAAAAAAGAATAATGTAAATAAAACAGAAAAGACATATACAACATAGAGGATCAAAAAACCCCACAAAAATTAGCTCTTTGATATACTAATAAAATTAATAAACTTGTTAAAACTTATCAAGAAAGACAAAGACACAAATTAAACTGATTTGTAAAAGGGTACATCTTACAGATCCTGCAGATATTTAAAAAAGAATATATGGATATTATGTACAACATTATCAATAAATTTGAACGTCCAAATGAAATGGATAATTTTAGGAAAAGACTATATTACAAAAATCAATTCAAGAAGAAATAGAAAACCTGGATGGTTCCATAATGAAATAGATTTCAAAGGAAAGAATGTTGTCAGGGTTGAAGATAGCAATTTTATAATGATAAAGGGGTCATTTCATTAAGAGGACATGACAAACCTAAATAGTTATACTCCTACAAAGAGAGCTTTAAGACACATGATTAAAAACTGATGGAAATGAAGAGAAATATAGAAATCCACAGTTATAGTTAGAGATTTCAACATCTTTCTCCCAATAATTGATAGAAAAACTGGACAGCAAATCAGTAAGGCTGCAGAAGACTTGAATGACGGTATCAACCAACTTGACCTGTTGATATTTCTGTTACAGTCTATCCAACAATAGCAGAGTGAACATTCTTTTCATGGACACATGGAAAATGTATCAAGGTCAACCATATTCTGGGCCATATAACCAGTCTCAATAAATTTTAAAAGTTTCAAAATATACAAAGTATGTTTTGACCACAATGGAATTAAATTGGAAATCAATCACTTAAAGATATCTTAAAAATCCCAAATATTTGGAAATGAGCGAACATAATTTTAAGTAACTCATGGGTCAAAGAAGAAATTAAAAACGAAAATAGAAAGTATTTTGAACAGAACGAAAATGAAAACTCAATACAGGAAAATTTGAGGAATGTAGTCAAAGCAGTGTTTATAGAAAAATTATAACACTACATGCTTATATCAGACAGGAAAAGTGTCTCAAATCAATGACTTAAGCTTTCAACTTATATAAAAACATGAACCAAAATCGATGAACTAGAAACAGAAAATCAAAACAGTAGAGATCATCAATGAAAAGAAAAACTGATTCATTAAGAGATCAATAAAACTAATAGAACTCTAGCTAGACACATCAGTAAAAAAAGTAGACACAAATTACCAATATTAGTAATGAGTGACAGAACATCTCTACAGATCATACAATCATTAAAAGGATATTTTGTGAATAACTTTATATCAGTGAATTCAAGAACCTGGATAAAATGGACAAATTCCTGGAAAAACTCAAAGTACCAAAGCTCACCAAGGAAGAAATAGATAACCCGAATGGCCTATATTTATGAAAATAAGTAACTAAATTTGTAGTTAAAAACCTTAACTCAAAGAAAATTGCAGGCCCAGATGGCTTCACTGAAGAATTCTACTAAACTTTTTCTTTTTAAAGATTTTATTTTTTCCTTTTTCTCCCCAAAGCCCCCCCGGTACATAGTTGCATATTCTTTGTTGTGGGTCCTTCTAGTTGTGGCATGTGGGACGCTGCCCCAGCATGGTTTGATGAGCAGTGCCATGTCCACGCCCAGGATTTGAACCAACGAAACACTGGGCCGCCTGCAGCGGAGCGTGCGAACTTAACCACTCGGCCAAGGGGTCAGCCCCTCTATTAAACTTTTAAGGAAGAGCTAGTACCAATTCTACATTAAATCCCTGAGATTATTAAAGAGGAGTTCCCAACTTTTTCTATGGAGCCAGTATTATGCTGATACCAAAACCAGAAAAGACATTACAAGTAAACTACAAACACATATTCCCTATGAACACAGATACAAGAATGGTAAACGATATTTTATGAAATTGAATATATAAAGAGGATAACACATCTCCGCCAAGTGGGGGCTTTTTCCCAGCAATGCAAAGTTAGTTTAACATTTGGAAGCTAACCAATGCAATTCAACATATTAACAGACTAAAAAGACAAATCATGTGAACATACTCAAATAGATGCAAAAAAGGCATTTGGCAAAATCCAACCCCTATTTCTGATCAAAACTCCCAGAATACTAGGAATAGGAAGGAACTTCCTCAGCCATATAAAAGGCTATGAATAGAGTAAACTAACATTGTACTTCATGGTGAAAGTCTGAATGCCTCCCCTTATGATCAGGTGCAAGGCGAGGAGGCCTGCTCTTGTCACTGTTCACCACTGCCCTGGAGGTTAGCCATCGCAACAAGACACAACAGAGAGATGAGCAGCATGTGGCTTTGAAACTATAATAGATAGATGAAAATTTTGGGCTTCATCAAAATTATACATTTTTGTTCTTCAAAAGACATTGTTATAAAAAAAAGTAAAGCTTCAGTTCTTTATATAAAGAACATTTAAAACTTCAAAACAACAAGACCAACAACCCAATTTAAAAAGTGGGCAAAAGATTTGAACCTATACTTCTCACAAAAAGGTATATGGATGGCAGATGAGAACATGAAAAGATGTCAGCCTCACTAGTTGTTAGGGAAATGCAAATTAAAACCAAAATGAGATACCACTACACACTGACTAGATCTGCTAAAATTAAAAATACTGACCATGCTAAGTTTTAGCAGGATGTGGAGGAAAGGAAACTCTAACACACTGCTGGCAGGAATGTAAAATCATACAACTTTGGAAAACACTTTGGCAGTTTCTTAAACATTTAAATGGATACCTACTATAAGACCTAGTCATTCCACTCCTATGTATTTACCTAAGAGAAAAGAAAATATATAGCCATACAAAGACTCATGCACAAATGTTTATATCAGCTTTGTCAAAAATTGGAAACAAGCTAAATGCCCATCAATAGGCGAACATATAAACTGTAGGATACCCATACTATTGAATACCGCTCAGCAATAAACAAGAATGAACCCCTGATGCACATAGCAACATGGATGAATCTTAAAATAGTTATACTGAGTTAAAGAAACCAGATTAAAAAAGAAAGCTCAATATACGATTCCATTTATATAAAATCCTAAAAATTGCAAGCTAATCTTTAGTAACAACAGATAAATGTGTGCCTGCAGGAGGGTCATGAGAAAACTTTGGGGGTGATGGATATGTTCATTCTCTTGATTTCAGCGGTGGCTTCCCATTTGTGGATAGATCTTTGTCGAAACTCATCAAATTGTACACTCCAAATATGTACATTTTATATCATGTTGATTATACTTAAACAAAGCTGTAAAAAATATTGTGAAATGTGCCTTTTCAGAAAGGTACGTGAAGAAAAGGAGAAGAAACGATGGAAGTCAAAGTAAATAGGTCACTGTGAATAGTTGTTTCTCTACCTTTTTAATCGCTAAGGGATTCTCTCTGGAAGTTTTGAAGCACTCCTTGATTTTTTTACAGGGCTCTGAAATGATATGGAAGAAAAATATTTAGATCAAACTGAAAAAAATTCCTATCACATGACATATATGTCAGTTGCCAAGAGTACATCTGAATTTCAGTTAAGATCTACTTCTAAATATTAGAAAACTTTCAGGTATAACTGTACTACAATAACATCATAAAAGCATATTTATATTTGAAACTAATTCTATGCCAAGAAAGATGATGTAAAAAAACACTGCAGGAGCTTTTTTGATCTGGGTAAACTGATTTTTAAAAGTACATATTTCATATAAGACTTGTTTTTCTCTGTTTCTTGTCACTTTCTCTAATTAAGGAGATTGTATGTGTGCTGTTTGCCCTGCAAACAGAAAGAGAAGGAATGTGCTGAGCTATAATTACATTCTTTGTTTTATTTCTCATCACATTGGTCTCTCAACCCTACCCATTTCATACAGCTTTCTAACTAAATGTCCTTAAATTACCTTAAAACCACTTAAACATTTGCTTAATTTCTTTTTGCATTAATTTAAAGATATATTCTGTGTAAACAATGTTATCTTTTTACTGAAGCCATAGTTAACACAACAATTTTTAAAGATTTTGTGCATATACCTAAGGGTAATTGAATTAATTAGTTCTAGCTGAAGAAAGATAGAAAAATGTTACCTCTCTCCAAGTAGTGAGAACAAAGTTATAGACAGTGTATCCGTTTAAGTGAGTGTTCACTTGCAGGAAACAGATACCACTCCAGCTATTTTAAGCAAGATTGTACACAGGGAATTAGGCAGTCGTTATAGTCTTGAGAGGTCTGGGGCAGTGGGCTGGTCTTGACCTTCACAGATCACTTCAAGAACAACACTTTGCACCTGGCCCACTAAGGGGGCACAGGCTTTATCACGATGGGGAGGAAGGGAAGTCATCAGGCCATGCCACCTCAACGGCTGTCACAACGTCCATGAGGCTGAACCCTAGGTGCTGGATCGTGGCTGCAAGCAGAAAGCTGCCATATCTGCTGACTTCGCCTTTTGACACCTATAAATCCGGAATCTGAACACTGGGGCACTGCAGCAGGAAGACACTGTGACTCCAGGCGTGCTTGGCAGCAGCCAGCAACCAAAAAAATGACCGTAGCCCCATGTCTGCCATACAAATCTCACTGGATGGCCACACCTGATTCCCCTTAAGGGACTCTTGCAAATGTAACTTTTAAGTTTCTAAGTTTCACAGTGTAAGAAGAGACACCAGAAAGCGGGTGAAATAAGTTGGCTTTGATTCTTCACTGCTAGTGGAAAGGAGGGAAGAGGAGCTCTCGAAAGGACGAAAGGAGTTCACAAGTGTGAGGACCTTAGAATGGAATCACAGCGTAAGTGCTCTTACCATTACCTTGTGAGAGACAAAGATTTTTCCACACTATATCAAAATAATTTCATGTGCCCCGAAACCTTTAGTAATAGCTTGCAAGTGAATAGGGCAGGAGAAAGAGAACCGGATATAATTCCTACCATCCAGAATGCCTTCTGTTTTACCTTGCCTTTTAGATTTTGCCATACTGGGCTTTTGCTTTCGTTTAAGGTGTACAATATAATGATTTGATATATGTATATATTGCGAGATGATTATCACAATAAGTTTAGTTAACACCCATCATCTCACAGTTACAAATTTTTTTTATTTCTTATGGTAAGAAATTTTAAGATCTACTCTCTTAACTTTCAAATACGTAGTACAGTATATTATAGTCATCTTGCTGTACTTTTGATTAATCCCTTTTCACTTCAGTTCAATAAACAGTTAATTAATTGAATTGTTTACTGAAAACCAGGCAGTGTGCTGGGACCTGGGGAGATACTGAGAATAGCAAAAACACCAAAGGCCATAACACTGGGCCCTGACCTTAAGGGCTTGACTGTCCAGTGGGGAGGATGCAAATACATACTTTCAGCCCTGTTGCATCTCTCCAAGTCACTTTCTGTCTGAAGTACTTTCCCTATCAATGTTAGGTAAACATTCATTTTTGGTATCTCTTAGCTACTTTCGTAGGAATTAGAGACTGGAGCCACACCAAATATGTCTTGGGCACAATTAATAATAATAGTATTTATTAACATTATTGAACTACTGAATTGAGATTAGATGAGTGAAAACATTTTATAATGAATAACCTAATTCGCAGCAAGAAAGTTTCATGCCTATTTAAAAGCCACTGCAGCCATATTGGCAAGCACACACATTATTTTCCCCCTGATAGTTTTCAGGAGGCCTCAGGAAAGATTTCATCAGTGGAGAGGACTCACCAGAATGAGGCCGTGGGGGCACTTTGACACTGTTGGGGGCTGGGGAGACTTCTCTGACGGGGCTCTCCAGGGCTGCAGTGCTAGGTGGGTAACTGCATTTGGCAAATGGCATCTCGTCCTTCTCTAAGTGGCCGAACTGGCCAACACCCCACAATAACTTCTCATCATCATTCACAGTACAGATTGGAATGTTATTCAAACCTAAGTGAGTAAGGATAAAAAGACCAAATGACCAGATTTCTTTGAATGATCAGCAATTTCCCAACCACATATTGTTAAATATACATAAGATGTCAGACTTCAAATTGTATGAACCAGTGCTAGGTGGACATTCTTTGAAAGTCAATGTAGCGAGTTCCATTTGCAACACCTGCTTCCTTAAAATGTCCTGCCATCTTGTCAGCCTTGAGAACCAGGCCCTCATCTTTGATCTTGGTCTGAGAGTCAAGGGGAATAGATCTGCCTCTATCCCAGACAGACCTCTATTTCCCGAGTCTTGCTACTGACCAGGGGGGTTATGTTAGCCTCTTCACGAATATCAGATTTAGATGTTGGAAAGCATCCAGAATGTTTCAATGTAACAAGTGGGAGAGCAATTTGATCCCAGTCTTGGCACTGCTGACACAGGCAGCTTCAGCCAGCTCTTGCCAGCTCTTGTCTTTAGATCTTAGGAGAGAACAAGACATTATTCTCTGTGTCCTCTATAGCATACAAGATACAGAACGAGTTCACCCCAAGAATAGTCTCCCCTTATTCCGATGCAGAAACAGTGTAGTCAGACAAGGAACAGCATAGACAAGGATCTGGCTAGCCAGTGAGACCTTGGTCTCCCTCCCTGTAGACACTTCTTATAAACGGTTCCCTGGAGAGCCCTGCAGGTGTCGGCGAAGGCAGCTGCTAAGGCTCCTCAGGAGAGCAGGGGAAGTGCTCAGCATCCCAATGACTCTTTTCAAGGAAATCCTCACTCTTTTGTTTCTATGAACCTTCACTCTTCTCTAAAGTAAGAGGAGAGCCTGCAGGTAGCAATGACTGCTGTGGTAGGGCCAGTTTTTTTAATCACCTCTTAGCAAGTTGGCATAGATGATCTCACGATTTGGCTTTAGCAAAAATTATGGAAGAAGAAAAGCCTCATTTGACCCTATGAATCAATAGAATGCTTTCGCCCCACAGTAGTGGTGCTCAGACTTCTTTGACTACCGTGCCCTTTGTTCGAACACATTTTACTCCATCTTTGTCGCCTGCCTGGATCTCTAGGACTCTTCAGAATACAGCTTGAAAACCTCTGCCAAGTGAATGTAAGATTTTAATATAATCATGTCTATAAATTCAAGCTTTTCCTATTCTATGTAATAGACTTGTAGAGATCACTAATTCGTAAATTAAATGGAAATTTTTCATCTTTTATATGCATTGATCTTTCTATGGATGACCTCGTTTACTGTTCCTTCTTTCTTTAAAATCATTTCTGTCCATTTTCAGAGACAACATTTTCCTGGTTCTACCCCAGCATCTCTGCCAATTCTTTTCTGTCTCTTTCACTGGATTTTCTGTGTCCACCCAGCCCTGTGTTTGTCAGAGTTCTTTGGAGTTGTTTTTGTGTTCTTGGACAATAGCATTATAGTTTTAACCTCTCTGCTCCTGTCTTTCAAATCTATTTTATAGCCCCGTCCAGTCCTTAGGCTTTAAGTCCTCATATCCATTTTTCTGCTTGGCCCTTTCCTCCTGAATGTTCCATCAGTACATCAAGTACAGCAATCTTGAAATGAAGTTTAGAGTCTTATCTCTTACATATGTTCTCCCTCCTATATGCCCAGGACTAATGGGTTGATCCACTGTCCACCCAGTCAACCAACCTAAAAACCTGGTAGTAATTCTTGACTTCTTATTCCATCCCCCAAATCCAATAAAGGTCCAAGTTCTGCTGATTCTTTCTTCTTAATGTTTATCATATGTATCTCTCAATCGAAACTTCTGTGAAATGCACCCCTGTCACCCTCCAATGATTTCCCTGTCGCTGTACTGCATCTGAACTTCCAACACACTTATATCATTGCACATATCACACTGCATTATAATTATTTCCTTGTATTCCTGTCTCTTCCAACTACATTGTGAGCAGGAATTAACTTATGTTGTGTCCTTCAGCAAAGTACGTATACCTACCACAAATAGCAGACTTTAAATTGGTGTTTCTTAGACTGACTAAACTTATGGATGATTTAATATTTTAAGCATTTATTTATGAAAATAACATTAGATCTCATAGACTAAACATTTGAGTGTTGGTAAAATGGATTATAAGAACTATCTTTGGGGTAAAACTAGTGAAACTAGTTGTAGTGTCCTTGTGCTAAGCATAGGCTCAAAGCACGTGTTGAATTTAGCGTAGCTGTTAATAGTCAAAATAGAGCAGCCTGCTGCTCTCCTCTTTCTCATACAATTCCATTTACTAGGCTTCTAGAATTAGCGTGGATATCCTTGAAAGATTGCCAAAGACAATTCTCTATTCAGTTGAACATATGTTTCTCTGTCAACATATATTACCATGAGCAAGGCTTTGTGGTAGGCATTGTAGGGAATTTGAAGACACAAAGCTCAGTCCCTTGCCTACCATCAGTTTTATACAATATTACAGGTATAAGATAATTCAAGGCAGAATGTGAAAAAAATATGGAAGAGGTATATATCAAGTACTTTCAAATATTCAAAGTCAGAAAAATTTATGCTTCTTCTTAGGAAAAAAAAAGACAATTCTAATTAAATGCAATGATTTTCTTATGTGGTTTATGAAAAACCCTGTCCTCAGATTTTGCCAAGACAATAGATTCTAAGGCCATCTATGACTTCTTTATTATAACATCTGTCTGCTCTTGTTTGGTCTTCATTTTCCTAATCTCCTTTAGGAATTTGTCTTTGGACACCCAGGAACGGCACCCAGCCGTTCTCCTGAATCTTGTTTATCGCATAACCAGCAGACACTTGTCTCTGTGCTGCTCGTCTGGACTTTCCTCTTGCTCTCCCTGCAAAGTTCAATCTTCAGTTCTCTGCTCTTCTCTCTTCCCATCCCTCAGAACTTCTCACTTGAATGTCTGAGTCTTTAATCTGATCTCCCAACCTCTAGTGAGGCCCCTGATCCTCTTCCACTTTTTCTAATACAGCTAGAATTATTTTTTAAAATGAAATCATTTGTTCAAGGGCACACGACTACTAGATAGCTTAGGTAGAATACAAAATCTGTTTAAAACCTATTAGTGGCTCTGCGATCTCATCTGGATGTAATTTAAATGTCTTTCCTTCCATAAGAGTTTAGCACCTCTCAGGTGGCAGTCACTCCTTGGGAAATGGAAATAAGAGGTGAGAAAAACTGACATACCTCTTACTTTCAAGGAGCTCACGGTTTAGTGGAAGATATTTGATAGTAATCAAATAAAAATAAATATTTAGTCATAAGCTGCAATATTTGCTGTAGTGGATGCTGTGGTGCACATTCCACCCACCTAGATCATGCCTTCAGGACCAAGGCACTCATCTCCTACCTGCCGTGGTGTCAGCTACCGATGGCTCATGCTGAGGCCCCCCTCTGGGAATTGCTCTCCGCTGAAGGGAGCTCTCAGGCCACACTGGGAGTTCGGCCAATGAGTGGTTGATGGGGGTTTCAAAGACCTGACACCCTTGCCTCAGTTGAGACCTCTCCAGAGCCATCCACTGCTCCTTGCGGGACTGACTGAGGCCTCTATTGTATCTGCATCGCAATTCTGCTTCTGCCCAATCCAGCTTCCCTTGCCTCTTTATACACATTGTTCCCAAGAGCAGTCCCCAGGAAACCCCCTTCACACAAATCTCTATCCCAGAATCCATTTCCTGAGAACCTGATCTAAGACAACGGCTCTCATAGAAAATGTAGGGCACTATGAAAATATGCTGTAAGGAAATCTAATTTAGACTGAGGATGTGGAGCCTGGAATGTCTCTTTTAAGTGACATTTAAACCAATACCTGAAAAATGAGAAATAACAAATAATGGGAAAAAGAGTTTTATGGCTAGAGGGAACAGTACAAGTGAAAATCCAGAGGTGGAAAGGGCTTCTTACATGGTCAAGGCACTTAGAAAAGTCCAGCGTGACATGTATATAATGTGGGGGGAGGGTATTGGTAGGAGAGGAGGCTTAGGAGGCTCGAGAGGCCGAGGCCTCATCATAAGGGACATTTTAGCCCATGTCAAGGTACACAATGTTATCTTAGGTGCATGGGAGCCTCTGAAGGGCTTTGAGGAGCGTGTTTCAACAGTTAAACTTACATTTTACTATGATCTTTCTGTTGTTCTGTGGAGACTGGATTGTATGAGGGCAAGGGTAGAAGTAGAGCAGTTAGGAGGCTACCGATTGCAAAAGTAATCAGAGCAAGAGAGAGCAGTGGCCTCGGAGGGAGCTGTCATAGTGGCCGGGAGAGAAGTGACTTCGTTTACAAAATATTTAGAAGAAAAAGTGACAAGATCAAGTGAAGTATTGCAAGGGGAAGGGAAGGAGAGGGAGGAATTAAAGAAGGGCCCCAAATTTATAGTACCTTTTACTAGTTGGGGTAGACTAGTTGGAGAACCACACTTTTGAGGGAAGATCAAGAGTTCGGTTTCAAAGAGCGAAATTCAAGGTGCCCATGAAGCACCAGAGCCTCCTGCATAGGCCCAGAAGGCAGTTGAATATAGAGGTTTGAACTTTAGAAAAGGAGCCGGAGTCTGAGACACACATTTGAAAGTATTTGGCATATAGTTGGTGTTTGAAACGTGTGAATGAGTAAATTTGATTTGGGTCACAGTATAGATTAAAGAGAGAAAGTGGACAAAGACTGAGCTGTGAGGGACTCCAATATTTACAGAAGAATCACCCCTCCCCCCAAAAAAAATCTCGGATGGAGAACCCTCAGAGGTAGGTGAAAAAACCCTAGGAGTATAAGGTGTTACAGAAACTAAAAATATGAAAGAAAGAAAGAAAGAGAGAAGGAGAGAGAGAAAGAGGGAAAGATGGAGGAAGGAAGGATGGAAGGAAGAAGGGGAGGGGAGAAAGAAAGAAGGAGAGAGAGAGACAGGGAGGGAGGATAAAATGTCTGCTTCTCCAGGGCTGATACTTAGCATGTAGATGCTAGCATGGCTATGCAGGTTGCTGAAATATTGAAATACTTTTATACCAAATGGTCAATTGCTGCCTTGAGCACCCTGAGCGGCCCCTTTGGCGCCTCTCAAGGCCCCTTTCCTAACAATCCAGTAGGATTAATGCACAGGTTAATGCCTTGCACAGGGGATGCCTGCAGGCCTCTGCTCTTGCTGCAATGATGGCATCTGGTCCCAATAGTCAATGCCTGTGCCCCACCAGTGGTTAAATATTTTGAATAGTACCTCTGTGTTTACCCACCAGAACCATCAAGTAGCCCAAACGCAGAGAAGAAAGAGACATTCCAGGACCTTGCGCCACCTTACCTTTGATGTGGCAGACCCTTCTCGGATGAGGGGTGTGCCTGACTAGAAAATAACTTCCATTTCTAGCCATAATATGGCTGCCTTTGCTCTCAAACTGGGGAGCAGACATCGGGGATTTGAGGCTTATGTTCATGGACTGTTGGTTCCTCCCTCTCCACTGTTGCCACAAAAGGTCTTGGGGTCTGTCTTGTTGATCCCTTCCAGAGGTGCTCAGACCCTGAAAAACAGAATGGCAGGAGTTCTGATGGGTTCTTCGGCATTGCCCATCAACATTTCTCCATCTCCTTTGTTTGCACTGAGCCATCTCTCCGGTCAAAGCATCGTGAGGCTAGTTTACTCTCAGACCAAATTTTTGTAAACATTGAAATCAACATAGGCATGGGTGGGACAGAAAAATTTTCCCTGGAAAAATCAAAACATTTGTGGGAAATTTAAAATACGTTTTATATTTAATTACATTAAAGGTCGCTTTGTTGGCTTACCAACATAAAAGTACATAACATGGTTATCATCAGTTTTGACATAGTAAATTAAAATAACTTTAAAATACAGCACCACAAACGTGCTTTACATTAAATTAACTTTAAATGAGGACCTTTCACATTGTACTTTAAGAAAACCAGCATCTGAAATTTGTATCATCCTCAGAGCAGGTGGCAAAACCAGAAGGAGAAAAAAAATCCAATAGCAAAAGAATGATATTGGGTCTGCAGATGATAAACTGGAGAACCTTTGGCATGTTGTTATTTGCAATATTCAGTAATATTTAATGATTTTCCCTCAATCACTCAGCAATCTTTTATTTGACACCTACAGTGGCGTAGGCTTAAGGGATAAAGATGATGTTACTGCTCTTAGGGAATTCACAAACGTGAGAAAGAAAATTTCTGGGTTAGGAACATAGGAAAGAGCTAATTAAACTTTCTTGAAGATGGTATACTATCCTTGAAATGTAAGGAGGATGTTTTTTCTGGTTTTTGCTGTATATTTTCTATCTTATGTGGAAATCTTATTCATCATAGCAGTATTGGGAAATATACATTTTATTTCTAACCATGGTATGGAGCTTTTCTGGTCAGAATAATTTGTAGTGTCAAAATATGTACATATTCTAGAAATTGATCTCAAGATTTTGCTGGGTCGGATACTTGCAGTTTATTGACTATCTTTTTAGACCAGAGAATCTGTGTTCAAATTTTTCACGGTATATATTCAGAGTGTATGGTATGTAAATTACCAGCCCTGTTGGCACAAAACATCTGATTTTCATACACTCTAAAATTATTTTAGGCTGAATAAAATATACTCAAATATTTTGAGTTCAGAAAATACTATTACCTAACAATAAAAAGTATGCTTTATGCTTTCTTATTGCTCCATATGAAGAATGAGGAGGTGGTTCTAACCTCTTGGTGTAACTCGAACGTTCGACTTATTCATTCTTCTTTCTGTGTGGGACCTTTTGTACAAGGAAGTCAGTAAATTCATTTTTTATCTGTACTGGAGGAAAAGGTTACGGGAGGTAATCTGAGGAGTGGAAAGGACACTGAGCTGGAATTAAAAAATGGGATTTATGGTCCCAGTGTTGCCGTTAATGAACGAAGTGATCATAGATAAATTGCTTTATTTCCTAGGTTTTGATTTGCTCATCTGAAACTTGATGGGACTGACTTAGGTGTCAGCTGGAATGTTCAGCTATTCTACTATGTGTGTCTTTCTCACATCAGCTCTCTTAGGCTAATTTGAAGGATACTGATGCACTTTAAATTCTGCTAAAAAAGGTCAACAGCAAACAATGCAGAGAATTCTTCCTCCTCTTATGAAAATTGCAGTGCCTCCTAGAAGTCTGAAATTCATCTTGCTCTTTTATTTAAAAAGGAGTTGTAGTGCTTACTCTTGGATTACAGAAAGTTTAATAATCTGATGTTATGGCTTTTATTGTTTCTCTTGGAAGTCTCAAAATAATGTTAAAGGAACAAAGGCGATATATAAATATTTTACCCACATATATCATTAAAAATTCTACAAAATCAAAAATATACATTATGTGCTATTGAAAGTCTGATTTAAACTTAAATTATCAGAAATAAAGTAAATGAATGACTCAAGACAAAGTTGTACTTTGAATTGTTCTAGCAAGTGATCTAAGGATGGAAGAGTAAAACTACCTCAAATCTGAAGCAAAGCGCTTTGCTCTGTGTAAGATACTGTTAAAGAATGAAAATACAATCCAATATGAGAGAAAATATTCACAAAACACATATCTGATGAAGGACTTGTATCCAAAATATACAAAGAACACTTAAAACTGAACAGTAAGAAAACAAATAGCCCAATTAAAAACTGGACAAGAGATCTGAACAAACGCTTCATCAGAGATTATCTGATGGCAAAGCATGCACGTGAAAAGGTACTCAACGTCATTTGTCATTAGAGAATTACAAATTAAAACAACGAGATACCACTAATACATCAACTAGAATGACTAAAATCCAAAGCAGTGACAACGTCAAATACTGGAGAGAATGTGGAGCAAAAGGAACTCTTAGTCATTGCTGGTGTGGACGCAAAATGGTATAGCAACCTTGTAAGACAGATTGGCAATTTCTTACGAAGCTAAACGTAGTCTTAGCATACAATCCAGCAATCGTACTCTTGGATGTTTACCTAAAGGAGTTGAAAACTTATGTCCAGTCAGAAACTTACACATGAATGTTTATTCATAATTGATAAATATTGGAAGCATCTATGGTGTTCTGCAATAGGTGAATGAATGGACAAATAAACTGTGGTACATCTACACAGTGAAATACTATTTAGCACTAAAAAGAAGTGAGATATCAAGCCATGAAAAGACATGGCAGAACCTTAAATGCATATTACTAAGTGAAAGAAGCCAATCTGAAAAGGCTACATACTGTATGACTCCAACTATATGACATTTTAGGAAAAGCAAAACTATGGAGACAGTAAAAAGATCAGTGGTTGCCGGAATTCCAGAGGGGAAGTTGGATAGTAATGAATAGTGGAGCACAGGGGGTTCAGGGCGGCGAAACTAACCTCTCCTATGCTGTCCTATACTGTCCTAATGGATACATGACACTGCATTTGTCAAAACCCACAGAACCGTACAACACAGAGTGAACTCTAATGCAAACCATGGACTTTGGTTAATAATAGTGTACAATATTAGTTCACCAATTGTAACAAATGTACCACACTCATGCAAGATGTTAATAATAGGCAAAACTGGGCAGGGAGGATGTATGGAACTCCCTGTACTTTCTGCTTAATTTTTCTGTAAGCTTAAAAACTGCTCTAAAAAATAAAGTCCATTAATTAAAAAGAAGCTACCTCAAGCTTGAAGAATAGCAGAACTATTTGGTTACTATTAATAATTGTCCACATCTTTCTCTTCCATCTGTTACCTATATTGATTTCAACACTCTTTAATTGATTGATAAGTCATTGCCCAGTGCTTTTAATGGATACCTTTTCAAATGCGATGAATTGATTTGGAATAATATTTCTCTATTAAGATTTCTGTTTATAACAAGCATTGATTTTTCTCTGTAACTTTTTAAGATTTATAAACTCAGAAGAAATGAGTGAATCATTCATTCTCATACAAAAGGGTAGTTTTTTCCCAAAAGAGAAGAGAAATATGAAAAGAACTTATTAAAATAATGAATTAATCGAAGTGGAGACCAATAAATAATTTACTTATTGATAGATAAATACTATCTTTATTGGAGAATCAGAAATAACATTTCTTTTGTGCTGAAGTGACTAAACATTTTCCTAAGCCAATGTCAGAGAGGCAGGTCAGTGCCAAGCTGGCCACGGTAGGCCACGGATGGGTTCTGTAGACTGAAGGAGTTACAGTGCTTCTACGAATGTGCCGTGGATTATTCACTAGGGCCTAAGGATGGTTTTGTGAAAAATAATAGGTTATTTGTAAAAACCCCCAAAACAAAGGAAAACAAAAAGCACATACTTGTTTCCAGTATTTTCGCTTAATAGGTATTTGCTACATAATAGAGAGCAGCATTTCTCAGCCCATTTTCCCCACCATGATACACATGACAGATGACGTTCACGTGAAAGACACATTCCCACTACATGTTCAGATTTTAAAGATTGTGTCCCAAAATTGTGCGGAAGCAAAATACTAAAAAAAGCTTTCAGTCATCACAACTACAGAGTGTCAGATCTGTCGCTCAGAAGAGCTGTACGAACAGGTTCTAAGTCCCGTCTTTGCAATCAGGTAAGCACATGGCATTGCAACTAAATGCCGGAGGCAGTGTTATAGAACTTACCTTTTTTTGTATTAATTCCTTTTAAAAACTAAACAATTTGGAACATTTTAGCCACTATTAGTAAAAACCTGGCGTCTCGCTTACCTACCTGTGTGCTGAGAAAGCCAGGCTGAGGCCTCCTGACTCAGAGGAACACTCTAAGGACCCGCTGAGTGAAAGTGGCCAGTTCTGTTTATAATTCCATTTTAACTGTGATGCTAAAACTCTGCTTTCACTCTGAAGAGGAAAAGAAAAACTCATATAGAGGTAACTGTGGGAAATTCTGGTTTACCATTTACCATTCAAGGAATCGTGTAAGCGCTTCTGGGAGCAATATTTTCTTTATTGCAGCCTCTTGAATCTACCTATATATTAGCAAATTATTGAATTTTATTTAGACTACAGACACAAAACTCTCAAAACAGGTGGTTTTAAAAGCATTATTAATCTATTTAGTCCTAACTCTGGCCATTGTTATTTAGAAAATACTATGCAAATCTGTAATAAATATTAATATTTTTAGTGCCAAATAGCACATATGTAAAACTATATGCTTACAAAAGGAGAACACAATATCTGATCCATCCACAGCTGAGATTACTCTGAACTCCAACGGGTGTCAAGACAATGATTTAGGTGATGGGTGCTGAACCACTGTGCATTTGCTGGTCCCCTAGCCTGGAAGCCACGCCTCCCAGATCTTCCTGTGGCCTCTTACCTTCCTTCGTTCATTGCTATTCTGAAGGAGACTTTCTCCAGAAGGCTTCCTTACCCTCTCTAACGTAGTTCCCACCCTCATCCCAGCCTCACTCACTCACTGTCCTCACCCTCCTTAAGCTGTCTTCGTAGCTTAAAGTGACCTGTGTCACTCCCTGCCATCATTTTTTACAGTTCTGTGCTTATTTTCTGCTTCTCTCAATAGGATGTAATAAGCAGACAGTGATCCAGTCCATTTTTTCACCTCTGCACTGACAGTACCTGTCACACAGTATATGCTCAATAAGTATTAAAGTTAAATGTTTTTACAGAGTAAATGTCTTTATCCCACAAACTCAGCATATTTCATTTGTATGATCTCCTCAAAAGTAGGTGGTTTATTTTAAAAGATGACACCCCTTTTCCTCAAAACAGGCTTATTTGGCTTTTACATAGTCTTGAAAAGAAGATGAACTTGAGGTCCATAAACTAAATTATACCTAAAATTTTTGAAAATTATTTTAATGATGAATTTAAAATTATACCTGAAGACAGTTTTAGAAGAAGGTGTTCTGGTTGATAGGAACTCAAGGGTGTTGATACCCTCCAAGCCTCATAATGGGTCTATACTGAGTTGTTGTTGATTTCCTTAAATCTTCGCACTTGAGTTGGGAATTTTTAATTGGTAGAGCAGCCGAAAGTCTACTGCTTACAAAAGAATATAGCTGTCTCCCTCCAGTTTCTCCCACTCTTGCTCCAAGGAGCCTAGGTGGCTCCCTGGTTGTTAAGATACACTACATAGCTTAGCAACATGGCAACATTCCTTAGCAAAATCTGAGTTCTGGAACCTCCCCACCTGCCATTCTTCTTAGCATTCCACGTACCCACAGCTTGACAAAACCACGCGGAGGCAGTGACCTTTCAGAGTTTTCAATTTATAATAGTGTTGAATTGAATGCAAGAGAAAAAGAAAGAAAAAAGAGAGCAATTTCAATCATATTTATAATTCTTCCCACAAATCTACTTAAAGAACACATACCATAGGCCAGCCCGGTGGTGTACTGGTTAAGTTCGTGCACTCCACTTTGGTGGCCCGGGGTTCGAGGGTTCAGATCCAAGGTGCAGACCTACACACCACTCACCAGCCGTGCTGTGGCGGCATCCCACATTCAAAATAGAGGAGAATGGGCACAGATGTTAGCTCAGGGACGATCTTCCTCACAAAAAATCCCAAACAAACAAACAAAACACATACCATGCAGATGTAATCAAATTTAGCTCATCCAAAACCTATGGGGAGAAAGTGAGAATGATTTTAAAGACATCCCAGGCCTCCCGCTCCAGTAGCCAGGATGTCTGTGCTGATGACTTGTTCAACAGCCTTGAAAAAAATTGAAGCGTTAATTAAAAGTCATAAAGAAACATTAAGCAATACTGTGAAAGTCACAAAATTGCCTGTGAGAAGTGAAGATGGAGTCCTACATAGTAATTCCATATACGCACATACACACATGCACATATACACACATGTCGCTGTCGGCCACCGGGACTACATGTACTGCTGCTTCCCAGCATTTTTCGTTTCAGACAACATATGACTTTCAATTTCTGAATTACAGTCTCTGAAAGCAATGTAGATAATTTCTAAGGACAAAGCCTAATTTAGTCTGTTTTCTTGACTGGCCCCAAGAATTAAAGGCTCAACATCTCCCCATGCCTTAACCCATTCACGACACATGCCACACTACTTTAGTGTGTTTTATGGGGGATTTAAAGGATTTTCTAAGGTAATTTTGGCATTTTGAGATTTTCATTCCACAGTTTGTAACAGTTAGGAGTGTATCTTACACAGCAAGTAACAGAGACTTATTTCTCCCTCATATGAAGGAGTTCAACAGTCCAGGGTTGGAATGGAAGCTCCATGGTATCATTATGAGCCCAGGCTTGTTCCACATTTTGGGTCCATCCTCCTTAATATGTGGCTTCCCTTCTTGAAGTTTTCTCTTGTCCAAGATGGTTCCTGAAGTTCCAGTCATCCAAATGGCTATTGTCTTTCCAGATATCAAATCCATAGTCCAAGCAGAAAACCAGAAGAAAGCAGGGTAAAGGCAGGCCAGGGCCCATGCTAGCGATGTGCTCCTCTTCACGTCCTTGAGTCCCAGACGACCTAGATCCATTGATCACTTCTACTGCAAGGGGGGTTAGAAAGGGTAGTGTCTCCACAGGGCACATTCCACCCCTGTCTAAAATAGGGGTTTGGCTACTAACAAAAGAGGGAGGAATCGTATATTGGGTTATAAACAGCAGTCTCTGTCACAGACCTGACAACCCCTGTGTAAGAGGAGGTGTCTACACACTGTGTGGTTGTACCTTTCCTTAGAGAGGGCCACGAGTCCATTACAGCAGATGTGCCCCTGGCTACATAACCATGGTTCCGTTATGTTCCCTGTATGAAGACCCAGGGAACCTTTCTCATCATTACTAGGAAAAATGGTACAACTGGTTTGATCGGGCACAGTTTGCAGCAGTTCTGTCAGAACCAAGGGACAGAGGTTGCTCTGCTGCACAGCTCAGGGCAGCATGTGTGTCCTTGTTGTCTTGGTAACAAATAGACTACCAGCCCAAGACACTCTGTTATTTTCAGCAAAGGGAAACTAGGTGGAGAGATTTCTTGAAATGTATGCATAAATGTCTGAACGGCGATGAGTGATGACTGGCTATGGTAATCAGGAGCAGGAGACGCTGCAGTTGTCCACTGTATTGAGTGTGATGAGAAGGGCAGTTTAGAGAAAGAGAAACTGGAAAGAACTCAGGCTTTTGCTTCCTTCTCAGCATCAGCCATGCTCACTGCTGTCTCTTCCTTGCTCTCAGCTTTTATTCTCACTGTAGCTGAGGCTTCTGTGTTGCTGCCTTTTACTGTTTCTCTTACTTTTCTGTCAATGATATTTTGTTGTAATAAATGTTTCACTCCACATGCTGTGTATCATTCATTCTTTCCAAAATTTTCTCTGAAAAATCTATATGCCAGGCATTGTGCAAGGTGCTGGGTGCACAGTGGTGAACAAAAACTTTCTTCACGAAGCTCATGGTCTAGTGAAGAAGACAGATATTGAAGAAGTAAATGCATAAATAAACGAATGTTTACAAATGGAGAAAAAACTTATATTAGTTTGAAGTTTGTTTGGCTGCAAATAATAGAAACTTCTAAAGACAGTGGCTTAAACAAATGAGGCCCTTTTCTTTGCCATGTGATGTTAGGTAGATAATCTCCTGTTAGAGACGGCATGGGACACAGGCTCTTTCCCTCTTCCCTCTTCCTAATCCACCATCATTAGCCTGTGTCTTTTGTTCCTAAGGGGCTATTGTACCTCCAAGCCCAGCCTCTGCATTCCACAGAGGAGATGAAAGCAACCTGGAGGAAGCAGTGGCAATTAACGCAGAGAAAGCAACCACATCCCAGGAATCCTCAGCAGCCTTCTGCCTCAGTTCCTGGGCCAGGACCACGCTGCGCAGCTGCCTCTCGCTCATGGAAGGTTGACAAATGTTGCGTTTTAGCTGAGCTCGTCACTGCCCTGGACAAAAACTGGGGTGTCAGTCAACAAGGAAGGCGGTAGACAGCAGTGTCTGCCACAGCCATGAAGGAAAAGAACAGGGTCCCATGAGGGAGATAGGGCGGCTGGAACACATCTCTCCGAGAAGGCATTGAAGTTGAGACCTTAGGCAAGGCAGGAAGTTAGGAGGGAGGGCCATCCAGCAGAGAACAAACGTTTTAATTTGAAATGTAAAATTTATTATCATCTGCTGTGTGTTTCATTATGATGCAAATTGATTGTCTCTTATAAACTTAATTCCAGATGCCACTCCAGCTGATTTAATCCTGAGAAAAGGGATCTAGAATGCTGTTCTGCTATGTGCCTCCTTGTAAAGAAAGCTTTTCAAAACTTCAGATAGCTGTACCCACCCAACTCTACCTCGAGCATAATTCACACAGGAAGACGTTTCCAGGTCTGGTTGTCAAATTCTACTGTCACTTGATTTGTGTCAGCATGTTCATAAGAATAGACTGGGTAAAAACATCTTATTCCCTTGAGCTCTTAACTTCTATACATTTATATCCAAAACACATAAACTTGTCATCTCCCAGCTTGTCCATCAAACATTCCTGTCCTGTGCAACCTCCATAGAGGAACTAAGATTTATCCATTAACTAATAACTGTCCTAAATGCAATGTGGTATCTTGCACTGGCTCCTAGAGCGCAAAAAAGGCCTAGACTGCATCTTCTTTGGGGATTACTCAGTCCTGATTTTTTTCTCATACGCTTAACTGCCTGCTGAATACCTCCACTTAGATGTCTAAAAGGCATCAGAGAAGACGGTTTCTAGTCAGCCGGATAATAACAGAATAACAGCATTTATCAAATGCTTGCTTTTACATCAGTCAGTGCTGCATGAAGTACTTTATGTGGATTATCTCACTTAATTTTCACAATTTTGAGATAGATATTATTCTTATTAGATATTATTATTCTCATTTTATAGAGGACAAAACTGAGGCTCAGAGAGGCTAAATAATGTTCCCAAGTCCACTTGGTAATGCTGTCAGGGGTCTGACCCAAGTCTGTTTGAAGCAAGACTGCGTTGTCACCACGCCTGCCTGCCCGACACAGCTTACAACGATTACGACAAAAAGGGAGCTAAAGCTGTTGTAAACTCTGTGTACCAGGAGTAACTGAGGAATGTGACACAGACATTTAGAAACACATTTACTTCTGTTCTGAAGTTTTTAACATTTAGCATTTTTAAGGAAGGCCTTGGCACCAGGCTTAAGCCTTGACATGTGGCTAGACCAAAATAATGGATGTGCTCTGAGTGGAAAACATACTTGGGATCTTGAAGCCTTGATACAAAAAAGGTAAAATATCCAATTAATAATTTTGAGTATTGATTACACTTTAAATGATAACATTTTGAATGTATCAGGTTCAATAAAATGTTTTAATATTAATTTCATCTATTTCTTTTTACTCTTTTTAATGCGGCTACCAGAAGATTGACAATTACACTTGTGGCTCACATTATAGTCCTATGGACAGCAGTGCTATAGAAAACCAGGTTTTGTGCCTCTTTAACTTTGCCCCAGTTGCAAAATCACTCTGCTTCTCACAGGGTGTTTCTGTAGACCCCTCATCCGGTTTCTCCTAATGTTAACAGCTTCCGTCACCGAGGTATGTTTGTGTTTGCCAAAACTAAGAAACCCACATCGGCACATTACTAGTGACTGATCTTCAGTTGTTTGGATTTCAACAGTTCTTCCACTAATGTCATTTTTTTCTGTTTCAATAGCCAATCCAAGATAGCAGACTGCACTTAGGACAGTGGATATCTGATGAACAAGTTGGGAGATGACTTGTCCAACGCAGGAGTACGGATTTTTAAAACAGGTTTATTGAAGTATAATTGTTATACAAAAAGCTGCACATATGTAATGTATATAATGTGATGAATTTGGACACGTGCCTACCTCCATGAAACTGTTACCAAAATCAAGGTAATAGACATATCCATCAGCTCCAGAAGTTTCTTCATCCCTCATTTGTTGTTATTTTTATGGTAAGAACACTGAACATAATAGCTACACTTTTAACAGGTTTTTAAAGGCCACAATATAGTATTGTTAACTATAGGCACAATGTCGTACAGAAGTTCTCTAGAACTTACTCATCTTCCACAACTGATTTTTAAATCTACTGAATAACAACTCCCCATTTCCTCCTGCCCCCAGCCTCTGGCAACTGCTGGTCTAC